GTCTGTCGGAGTATAATGATGTGTTTTCTCAGGGTGAGCACGATATTGGTCGGACCGAGGTTGTGGAGCATCACATTAACACGGGCGGTGCGGGGCCAATTAAGGAGAGGCCTAGGCGTCACCCGAGTTGTAATCAACAGGAGATCATGAGGCAAGTCCGTGACCTGGAGAAGAGGGGTGTCATCGAGCCGTCGGATCGTCCTTGGGCTGCCAACGTTGTCTTGGTCAAGAAGAAAGATGGTACGAAGCGGTTTTGTGTCGACTATAGGGGCCTTAACGCATGTACCATCAAGGATGCCTACCCTGTTCCCAGGATAGATGAGACTTTGGATGCGTAAGGGGGAGCTCAATGGTTTTCCACACTCGATTTGGCCTCGGGCTGTTGGCAGGTTGCCCTTGACAAGGACGCCAGCCAGAAGTCGAGTTTTGTTGTTCGCAATGGCTTGTATAGGTGGAAATGCATGCCTTTCGGCCTTTGCAATGCTCCAGCGACATTTGAAAGACTAATGGAGAAGGTCATGGCTGGTCTCCAGTGGGACATCCTCTTGATTTATCTTGATGATGTGATTGTCTTTGGGAAGACTGTGGAGGAAGAGGTACAGCGTCTCAGGGTTGTGTTCGAGAGACTGCGGGAGGCTAGACTTAAGCTGAAGTCCAGCAAGTGTAGTCTGTTTCAGCGGTCAGTAGGTTACCTTGGCCACATTGTGTCGGCCGAAGGTGTGTCAACTGATCCTGGAAAGGTGTCAGCTGTGGCCGATTGGCTGGTCCCGAAATGTGTCAAGGAAGTAAGGAGTTTTCTAGGACTTGCTTCCTACTACCGGAAGTTCATCCGGGGTTTTGCGGAAGTTGCATCTCCGCTGCATGAGTTGACAGGGAAGTCTAGGGAGTTTCTTTGGACAGCGGCGTGTCAACAGGCCTTTGAGGAATTGAAACAAAGACTGCAGGAGGCTCCTGTTCTGGCTTATCCCTTGTCTGTTGGTGACTACATCTTGGATACAGATGCGAGTGGAGACGGGATAGGGGCGGTCCTGTCCCAAGTCCAACAGGGGGAGGAGAAGGTAGTGGCCTATACAAGCCGTAAGCTGAGCAAGGCTGAGAGAAACTATTGCGTCACGAGGCAAGAGTTGCTGGCTGTAGTGGTTTATCTCAAACACTTCAAGCAATATCTGTATGGTCGGAAGATTACCGTGAGAACGGATCATGCTGCGTTGAGGTGGTTGCTCAACTTCAAGAACCCTGAGGGCCAGCTTGCGAGGTGGCTGGAGGTGGTTTCTGAGTATGACATGTCAATTCAGCACAGGCCTGGACGGAAACATGCAAACGCAGATGCTCTGTCCCGCAGGCAGTGCAAGCAGTGTGGGCGTAGTGAAGACCCTGGTGAGGTAGACCCTGGTGAGGTGTCCGAAACTGTTGAGGCTTGTGAGGTTTCTACAGAGTCTGTCTCAGGAGTCTCAGAGGTTGCCGAGTCAGCAGTGAGGGGAATTCTTGCTGAGCCTCATCTATCTCAAGAGGTAGTGAGGGAGGCACAGATGGCAGATCCCGATATGAGGTGGTTGATCGAGGCGAAGGAAGGTGCGAGGGGTCGGCCAGACTGGAGTAGTGTCTCACACACTTCCAAGGCCCATAAGACGCTTTGGTCTATGTGGGCTCAAATGGAGGTGCGGCAACAAATGCTGAGCCGAAGGTGGGAATCCAATGATGGTCGGTCAATCCGCTGGCAGTTGTTGCTGCCGGAAAAGCTCCGGAGTGATGTTCTGCAAGCCCTTCATGGTGGACGGACGGGTGGTCATCTTGGCATGAGAAAAACATTGGCCAAGGTGAGGTTACGTTACTACTGGCCAAACATGACGGCCGATTTGAGAGGTCCTTCCTTCGATGTTGTGAATTGTGTCAGAGGCGGAAGTCGCCATCGAAAAGGAGAGTTGCTCCTTTGCAGCAGTACAGAGTGGGTGCTCCCGTTGAGAGGGTAGCTCTGGACCTGCTGGGTCCACTGCCCCAGAGTGACAGTGGAAATGTGTGGATTCTTGTTGTGGGTGACTATTGCTCCAAGTGGATGGAGGCTTATCCACTTCCCGATGCAAGGGCGAAGACAGTGGCATCGAAGTTTGTCACTGAGTTTGTATGCCGTTTTGGAGTCCCGCGGGAGTTTCATTCTGATCAGGGGAGAAATTTTGAGTCTGCAGTTTTTGCAGAGATGTGTAGAGTCCTAGGAATCAAGAAAACGAGGACGACGGCTTACAACCCGAAATCTGACGGGATGGTAGAGCGTTTCAACAAAACTTTGGTTAACATTGTTTCCATGCTGATTGAGCCTAAGAGGAAGCAGAGGGACTGGGACGAGTGTCTACCTTACGCGACCTTTGCTTACCGTTGCAGTCCACAAGAATCCACCGGTGAGTCACCTAACATGATGATGTTGGGACGTGAGGTGACGTTGCCTGTTGATTTGATGGTTGAATGTCCTGAAGTCGAGAAGGTGGTCGAGACTGATTTTGCTTGGGAGTTGCGACGTTGGTTGCAGGAGGCCCATTGCCGGGCCAGTGAGTGTCTGAAGCAGAGTGCCCGCCGACAGAAGCGAAACTACGACCGCAAGGTTGCTGGGAAAGGCCTGAAAGAGGGCCAGTTTGTTTGGTTGTTTAGCCATTCCAGGAAGAAGGGTGTCACTCCTAAATTACAGCTACGCTGGGAGGGGCCATATTTGGTCGTGAAGAAGTTGTCCGATGTGACTTACAGGGTTCAGTTGAGGAAAGGGAGTAAGCCTCTCGTGGTTCACGCAGATAGGTTGAAGCCCTATTCTGGCGACAACTTGCAGCCGTGGGTGTATCAACCTAATAGAGTGACAGAAAGCTCTGAGGATACCGCACACGAGGTTGCTGAAAATGGGACAGCTGTAAGTGACGCACATGAGGTTGCTGCGGATGACCCTACTGTAAGTGGTGATATGGGGCAAGATGGGATGGAGTCCGCTGCGATGCCTGAGACTCGCCCGAGCAACCAACAGGTTACAAGTAATGGACCTTACAAGGAGGTTGAGGTTTCCAGAAGATATCCAAGGAGAGAGCATAAGCTTCCAGTCAGATATCGATAGAAGGAAGCGCCTGAGGATCGCTCTGGTGGAGGAACGACATTCCAAGGTCGTTCACCTGGACAGACAAGTCGTACAGCGGGAGGAACGGGTCGAATTGCATAATCAGCCTGTTGATGCGGACCTGTTCACTGTGGAGCCAGCCGACTAGACATCCATCCCCCAAGAAAAAACTGTAATCTTGCCAATTCCAATGGGGTAGAAAAAAATCCTTAATTCAACTCGTGATCCTTCTAATTAAGAAAAGAGAAAAGAGAATATTTTTCTACGGGTTTTTGAACAAGGTTTAGGCTGTTATGTTTTATATAAAGTTTCTATTTTTATGCATGTGTATTTTAAATAAGGTTTATGGTGTTATGTGTTTTAAATGTATCTTCTATTTAGTGAACCTCGCAGACTATTTTTACTGTATAAGTAAACCTCAAGTGTGAGGTGCATGTTATTTTGTATAATGGACAAGTAGTCCACACTGTTTCTAATTATGTATGTTTAAGCTGTTTAGGCCGAGGCGGCCTAAGCTTTGCTGGGCCCTGTGTGGCGAAACAGCCGGTGGACTGGTGCGAGTTTACCATGGCTCGCCTGGTTCCCCGACGTCGTGCGTAGGGTATAGCGCGTAGTCAGAGATTTCAGGCAGTTCGTCTGCAGACGCTGTTGAGTGAACTTCGGAACGCAATTATTGCCGATTACTGAGTTAACCTCGTGCATGTTCGCCGCTGCTATCGGAAGTGTGGACATCGCGGCGTGCTGTTGAAGGCGTATAGTGAGACTTTAGAGTCATAATTAGCAAGCTAGACCTTTTGTTGTAAGGGGAAATTAGCCTGGGTGGCTGTGGGTTGAGCTGGTGACTGGGGACAGTAAGGTTCGTGTGGTATGTGCAGCAGTATTCCCTGGTCGGGAATTGGGTTGCCTGTTGCCTGTCGACCTTTGTCGCCAGGAGTCACCTCGGGGTTAGAAACCGCGCTCCGTTACCTGAGCCCAGTGATTTCTGTATGCTAGGTTGCATGTGAGGGTTACTCTGGTAAAGTCTTAATCAGTGTGTGCAGTTCAAAACTTGTTGCTGTTGATCGCACTGGGTGTGCACAGTGAGGTTCTTGCCACTGTGGGATAATCGTTCTAGCTAATCAACGAGGTTAATTACATAGAGCCTGGTTAGGCTGGTTGTTGTAAGCATTGTATAATAAGAGGTTATTGTTGTGTAAGGCTTACTTTATAGGGATAAACCTAGAGCAGCGGGGAACGTTGTTCTGCGAGGTTTATTTGCCACTCATTAATTAAGCTTGTGTATTTGGACCGAATAAAGAGTTGTTTCTTGTTGTTCTCTAAGACACATGTGTAGTGAGGTTTATTGAGGTTCCCTGGTCACCTCTAGGTTGCTTGCCACGTGAATTGGTATTCCTTTAGCGTTGGTATATTTCCAACAAACGGACAGGCCTAGGACTTGAATCCTCCGTTCGTGACGTAGTCCCCCCTTATTTGCGTGTAACCGCTCATGCGCATGTAAGGTCATTAAATATTTTTGTGGGATAGTCAGCTCTTGTTGGTGTGGGTGTAATTCCTTATCCATAGACAGGCGAGCGCGCCACAATACTTTATTTTAAACTTTTTACGACAGTTTTTCTCAGCCCTTCAATCTTCTTTTGTTCAAAAAGTAGCGAGACAAAGATAAACCGAGAAACACAATGACGTTGATCCACTTAAATTGTAAATAAAAAAAATACCAACGAGGATAAAAAATGATGACAGCACTGTGTTAAGTTTTCTTGTTTTCAACAGTCGTTCTTGGCCGTAAAATTCACAACAGTTAAGCCTATTGTTTGTTTGTTTACTCGTTTGTTTTAGACAGACAACATTTTTCAGACAGACAACCTATTTCTCATCTTGTTTTGTTTGTTTGTTTATTTGTTGTTTATTTCAGACAGAAAGCTTCAAGAGGTCATCAATCTACCAGTGCCGGTCATCTGTTGTCTGGCCGCTCTGCTCAGATACCTGAAAGAGTTCAACCTCCATCGAGTCCTGAAAATGACCAGGTGAGAATGATGGCCCAAATTAGGCATGACCAAATGACCGTCAGTTTATACTGGCCGAAACCTTAATCCTTTTACAGTCCCTGTACTGCCCCAAAATGCCCTGTCTATCTGATTCTCCTTTTTGTCCCAAACCGCCCAAGCACCTTGTGGTGTATGGATTTTAAAAAAAGTAATTACAATGTAAGGCCAAGTAAAAAAAATAAACCAGTTTCTCTTCCCCACCTGCTTCCTTTTTCCCGTCTAGCACTTTGTTTTGTTTTTAATTCACACATTTACAAATATATTTTGCCAAGTTTTGTCAATTGTTGTCTTTTTTTTTCAAACAAGATTGTAGCTATGTAAAAAAGGATGATGGCTCCCTTGGACACAACTTTGTATCAGCAAAGAGTTGAGAAAATGGAAGAATTCTTCCACCAGGCATCTTGTAAAATCTGCCATCATGGAAAAGAAAGGGAGTTGCTGCTGCCTTCATATTTTCAAAAAATCTGGACCAAACCCTTTTTTTATTTTCAGTTTACTCGGCCTCATACTATGTTGCTCAAGTACTAATGGGAATAAGTTACAACTTCTACTTCACAGAATATATAGCGTTTGACATAGGTGCCCTTTACGTGCATTAGTATTTCCAATTTGCAATCTCTATCAAAGAACAGTCTGCAGAAATTAAATCTGTTAAACATCAAAAGCAGGGCTCATTATAAGCCAGTTCGGTATTTCAACTCTGCATGTGCACAATGATATGGGTCAAAGGTCATTTGGGATAATCAAACGTTTTGAAGGCACATTAACGTGGGCGCACGACGCTTGCGTGTAAATTTTCAGCTGAAAGGGCATGCGCGTAGCATCGCGTAACATCACGTCAGTGATGTTATCCCGAATGACCGCGGTCATTAAAATACTAAACTGGCTTATTAGAGTCCCCAGCCCCACACACCTGCAGCCTGTACACCCCTTAACGGGAGTTTGCTTGCAGTATTGATCCAGATCCATATCCAGATCTACTATCAGTCATAAAATTCTTCGAGTGTTGAATTAATTGCCCTAAGAACACGGATCCTTAAGTTTGAGAGGACGTATCAGCTTGTTGTCTCTAGAGGGTGCCATTTTGAGCTAATATCTCAGCTCAACGACTCATTGCTGATGGTATCAGGGCACATTGTTACAGCTTTTGCTTTGCTGTGCGAAAAATCCCTGCTTAGACTGTGGCAGGCAAATTGTATGCATCATCAAATTATCTATCAAGCATGTGTCAAGTAGATTAATAAGCAGGGTAGTTTTGGGAAATACAAGCGCTAACTGATTCATGGTGGGATGCTCTTGTTCCGTTTTTACATTTTCTCAAGCTCTTATACAGTGGATACGAAATTTTGGTATTTCTTTCTTTCTTTCTTTTTTTGGCCCAGTAACTTGGTATCTTTCTCGGCTAGAAATCAGTGCATGAAGCTGGACGCCTGCGCACTACGAAATCTGGAAATATTTAAAAATCAGGTAAATGTTGCAATCGCTAATAAAGTTAACACGTTAAAATTCCCACAAAAGCGGTTACAAAGTCTGTACGTGAAGTCAAGCCCAAAGCATTCTTTCCAAGTTTCCATTTTTCAGTGCCACCACAAATAGTACAAAATGTGAACTCATTTTGTTCCTTCGAGAAATATGTAATGCTAAACTATAAACAAATTAAAAAATTAAAAATCTGTATATTCTGTGGGTTGCTACTGTAACCTTTTCTGTTACGTGTCGTTTCCACTATGGCCCCTTCACAGATAGTCCCTTGACCAGAAATGTGCAGTTAGCCTGGTACTATATCTGTTCTAGTGCATGATGGGACAGGGCTACAAAATCACTATTAATTACATGTAGCACAAACATCCCACAATGCACTGCAGCAGAAGCCTTCACTGCACATTCCTTACCTATCACACTTGTGACTAATTAATAACTGTAGGCTGATAAAGAGAGCTGGGCAGTGCTCTCGTATAGGATTACCCCTTAATACCAATGAATGGGCTAATTCTGGCCCAGTGTGTATAGACTAGTAGATGTATGAAAAGGCTTCCAACGAATAACCATTCTGAATCAAATGAAGGGAAGGAAAGAATGTAGTATCCAGATGCCACTTCTTTGGTTGTGTACAAAGTCTACGGAAAGTCGAGTGCATTTTCAACGTATTTTCTAACAAAGTTAGAAATGTTTCTCAGTCCTAAATTCATGTCTTTTCAACATTTTTGCAGACGGATGGATCCGGAAGAGGGAGTCTCTTCTGGGTCCTTGATCACACCAAGACTAGGTTTGGCAGCCGGCTGCTACGAAAGTGGCTGGCAATGCCGCTGATGGAACTCAGGTGAGCCAATCAGCCGCCTAGTTGTGAGCACGCTCCCTCAATATAGGAATGCCATTGGTCCAATCTGAGTTGCACTGTCTGACTTGCATGTGCTGACAGACTGTTCATTATTCGGCTGCGGACCATGTTATGAGATGATTACATTTGAAATGCTGTGCTTATTGTAATGTACATTGCTTAGGAACACAAAGCTAGATAAAGGAATCACAGTGAAATTTAAAGTTGGAGTATACCTGTTTTTTTTTTAATTTCAAATTTATTTTCTGAACAAAATTTGAAGGAATAGAATGTCCTGTAACAAATAAATGTAATTTGTTTGTTAGCATTTGCAGGCCTTTATTGTTTTAAAAAGTGGTTTTACACAGCGCGTTCCAGTTCAGAAAGTTTTAAGCGTCAGGCTATAAACATTTATATTTAATGACGTGGCCACATATTCATGTATGTTAACTTTGGAATCACGTACGTCATATATAGTAAACCAATTTGCTGAAAAATATTTTGTTGCTGAAAAACTTCATGAAGTTAAGCCCAGGAAAGTTTTAATGCTGAAATTGCTTTTTATCAATGTTTTGAACAGCAACATCCAGTGTCGCCAGGATGCCGTGGAGGAACTAATGCACTCGGACTGTGAGGCAATGAGTCGGGCCAGGGATCTACTGAGCAAGGTACCAGACCTGGAGAAAGGCATCTGCAGTATCTATCATAAGAAGGTAATACATGTAGTCTGGCGCTCTGTGTTTCCGATTTTATTTGGTGAGACTTTCATTTTCATTGATATTTTGTAATATTCTTCATTATCCAGTTGTCTCTCGGACCCAAGTGTTAAGTTTTTATTGTTATTATTATTTTTTTTTTTTGGCTTGAACTTCAAAACGTTTCCTCCTCAGCAGGTTTCAGAAACTTGGTTTGTAAAAAAAACTTTTTTGAAGAGCACATACATTTAGAAACAAAAGGTGTTGGAAAAAAAGTATTATTCATTTTTCTGTATACAGTGCTCGTCAGCGGAGTTCTACACTGTTGTCAAGTCCCTAAGCAAGCTATGTCACACGTTGAGCTCCTTGCAGCAGCTGGCCAAGCGAGAAATGACCTCGGAGCTCTTAAAGGTCATCTTCACAGAGACGCCGTCACTGCTTGAAGGAGTGAATGAATTCCTTCTTTCCATCAACGAGAAAGCAGCAAAGTGAGTCTAAAAAGCCCCAGAAATATTGTTTGCTCTTTTCAAATGTAGTGGGAAAGGATCAGTAAATGGAGACGAATTTCAACTTTGTGGAGCGATGGTACGTTGGTTCGAATCCTGATGGGGAAACATGGTGTTGGTGTTCTTGGCCAAGACACTTTACAACAACTTTGCTCAGTACAGTGTTAAAGATGGTGGAAATAGGCTCAAAACTGCTTGAACAAACTATTGAAACAAGACCAATCCATTTTGAGCTTTGATATTAGCAAGATTTGCATTCTTTGCACTAACTTCAAGAACAAAATTTGACTGGGATTATAATTTGACAAATATGTGAAATTGTTAGGTAATACCCAATCTTCGAAAGTAATTTAAAGTGCCGGTGAGTGGATGAATATTTTACAGTATTTTCAGCTTGCCATGGTAAAAAGGCACTTTTTGAAGCTTCAAGCATGAAGTTCTACCCTGTCAGATCCACAGTAACGTTTTTGTCCAATTTCTTATCAATAAAGTAAAGTCTGCCATGAGCCAATATGGCCTATCAGGCTGGCATTTATCTCCTGTTTCCTTGGCATGAAACTACTGAGAATATGTCTGTCCCCCCTGGATGGGATGCCAGTCCATCGCAGGTTACTCCCCAGCTAATGCTGGTACCCATTTATATTCCTGGGTGGAGGAGGGAGGCAAGTGGGGGTGAAGTGGCTTGCCCAAGGACACAACGTATGGCCTGTAGCAGGATTCGAACCCCAACCCTATGATCATGAGTCATAAACCCTAACCTCGTGGCCATATTCCTCCACAAATTTCTTGTAGGGATGGGAATAAGACTGAGCTGTTTTGTGACACATCTCCTTTCCCTGGTGTGGAACGCTGTCAGAGAAGCATCAGTGAAGTTCTCCAGAAGATACAAGACCATCGAAGGGAAGTTCGAAAGGTTCTCCGAAAGCCAACCCTGGAGTATGTCACTGTATCCGGAATGGAGGTAAAAACCAAACTTGTCTCACGTTTGTGGGGACCACACTTTGGTTTTACAATAAATTTTGTGGGGAGCAAAGATGTTGTGGGGACACTTGAAAGTCCCACGTCAGTGCAAATTGACTTCCTGCACCCTGTGGACCTCTTTTGTTTAGGTAAACATTTATTCTTGATTTTATTGTTTCAGTTCCTGATTGAAGTAAGGAACATCTTGATCAAGGAAGTGCCCAGCAACTGGGTCAAGATCAGTTCGTAAGTTTGTCATCAAGCTATTTACAGTTTAATAATAAATACTGCATAAATCAGTGTCAGTAAGGTTTTATTGTGCAACACTTCACAGTCTTTTTGTCTAGGTTTCACAAGCGATGGTTCTGTGCCAGAAAATTGTAAGGAGGGACAAGAACAAAGCTGACAACAGTTAAGATAATAGGTCAATTCAACTCTTATTTCATTTGCCATTTCAAAAAAAAAAAAAAATGAGGGGAGGGAAAAGGAGATTGTCTTTTTGGAAAAATGTCTTTTTTATTCAGGTTGGGCAGTGACATGCTCATTTTTCTCAAAGTGAACCAACCAAAAGGCTCGACAGTTTCAAGACCCTCCCAGCCACAAAATGTTGTTCTCAAAAGTAGTTTTGGTCCACAATTGAATTTTGGATTATGTTCCCCAAAAAAGATCTGGCGAGAACAGCTAAAACACTGTACTGTGGCAATGCGAGGCTTCAGACGTCAGGTGGCAGCAGACACTCCGGTCCTTTTCTGTTGTGTGCGTCATTTTGAGCATGCACACATTAACTTAAAGATCAGTCACATTGCCTTACTATCAAAAGCGGTTGTTCATTAGGGAATTGACCATTACATTCATTACGAAAAAAAAGGCATCTTTCCCCCACATTGAAAAAAAAAGGTGTTTCCTGAAGTAAGTCTAGCATGAGAATGCTCAGAATGGAAACTTGCTTCAATGAGGGCAGCAAACAGAAACAGCCTGTTTGCTTACGTCAAGCAACGTCTCTCGTGTGCACCACACAAATCAAAGTTTCTGGACCAGATGACTGTCTGGTTCCGGACCCGTCACTCTCCCCGGGCAGCTGGGCACGCATGATGTGAGCAGTAGAAAAGGGCAGGTATGTTTGCTGCAACTGGGCATTTCAAAGGTCTCCCAATAGCTGTTAGCAAGAGTCCTGAGGTATACCAAGCATACCTGATGCGAGCGCATTGCCATCTGTGGTGTTGTTAAATAGAGAGCTTGATCTTAATCCAGTCTGCGACCCAGACTATTTCACTTCAACTCTGAAGGACTCGGATATAATGGGTCTTCTTTGTTTTTGTTCCAGGACGAAGCAGGTGACGCGATTCCACAGTCCATTTCTGGTGCAAGCCTACAAGACATTGTCTCAGTTACGGGAGCAGCTTGCTGTTGAGTGCCAAAGAGCTTGGCTCCAGTTCCTGGAGTAAGTTAAAAATCTCCGCCCAAAATTTGTATAATTGTCTGCAAACAAACTTGAATCCCCGATCCTGATTGGTTGATCCATGGCAACAGCAGTGTGATATTATACGTAATAGCTTGGTCGATATCGCACTTTGTGTATCACGCCATCCCAAGATGCGTGGGCCGTTCCTTCTGCACACAAGTGTGATGCGATAACTGCTGACAAGTTAGTGTACCGCATGCATGTGCCGTCTTTACTGTGCGTGAAGTTTGTTTGAAGATAAATTTGTTATCCCACTCGTGCTCGTGGCACACGGAAAATGTAGTGCGTTCCACATACCACTTGGCCTTCTGCCTCGTGGCATGTGGGAGACAAACGCACTTCTTTATTTCATGCTCCACTCGCGCATGTGGGATTACTACATGTAATGTTATATTGGCCTCAAATCGCAAACAAATCTTACTGATTTTTCTCTGACTGATAAAAAAAATTCCATTCTTACATGTTGATATATATTTTTGTTTAGTTTATTCGGTGACCATTATTTTGCCTATCGGAAAGCCATCCAGCATCTTGCAGCTTTAGACTGTCTATTCTCAATGGCCGAGTTAGCTCAGCAGGAAGGATATTGCAGGTAAGCAACCAACTTTGTCGCTTAGCTGGCGCTTCTTTCTGCACGCTGTTAAAAAATCACTGGGGAGCATAACCATTGGTTAAAGGGGACATAGACGGAAGATTGTGAAGCGCCATGGTCCAGTGGTTACGGCCTTCGAATCATGTGCCATGTTCAAACCTGATGAAGTACATGGTGATAGTGTTCTTAGGCAAGACACTTTACCACAATTGCCCTCTCCACCCAGGAGTATCAATGGGTACCTGTGAAGGTAGAGACCAGAATGCGCTGATCTGGAGCTGCTGCAGAATAACTGGTCTCATGGCCTGATGAAAAGGGGTAATAGTTGTGAAGCACTTTGAGACCTTTGGTGTAAAACGCCATAAGCACAACATTATTACTAAGTGGCAGTCTGGAAAATATGCATAATCTTGCTTCAACATGTTGTGCGAGCACTTATGAGAGTTACAATGGAAGGAATACGTTCATGCCCCCTTGGGTTTGCACATACATGTATATTGTGCAACGCATGCACAATTAATGTTATTCCTGAATGCGCACAAGCCCTTGTCATCTTGGCTTGAAGAGCACCAGGGCTACGACGGCATTGTATTTGAGTCCCACCAAACTCTCCCTTCGTTAAGGACTAAGGGGGGACTTAGACACCAAGATTTCAAACTTTTTGAAAAACAACAAATAACTAGTTTAACAACTTAAGTGAAGTTTACACTCTGTGTTTCCATACTGAACTCAGTGACCCCACATGTTATAGGTGACCTGCCGTGTAGCATAGTAAGGAATAACTCCCACCGTTGACTTTTTGAGTTTAATTTACCATGTGAAAGAGCATCTCTTTAGCTTTCTAATGATACCAAATGTATGGCGCTGATTACTCAAAACAAGGTTTTGGGAGACATTCCTCATTTAGCCTCAGTAGGTCACATATCCCATTGGATAGCCCGACTGCCTCTAGCCGTATATACTATCACAAGTTCTGTATAACGGCCATACAGGCGGTGCTCCCCTAAACGCTAAAAAATGATGAGTCATAAACCCTAACCTGTTCGAAAACACGTCCCTTTATCTAGAAACCTTCATCCATCTGGCCAAAAAACAATGAGCAGTCATCAGCTCCCACAAATATCGTCTAAAAAAGTTTTCAAAATGGCGGACGCGTTGTAATGTATGCATTATGCGGGCGCACTTGGGCAAGACTATGAATATGCATTGTACAGTTCATGACCTCGTGTTTATATGGCCGGCCGTGGGCGCCGCGCGCGCCCAACAACACAACGTCATGCAGTCAGAGGCAGTGAGGCTACCCCTTGGAAAGCTCTTATATTGCAGAATCCAGAAATATCAATAGCTCAATTCCCCCCCCCCAAAAAAAAATGTGATGACCAAGTTTGTGATGACAGGTCACATACTTGTATGTTTTTTTTTGTTTTTTTTTCATTTCCTGCAGGCCAGTATTCAATGAAGATGGTCCCTCTATTCATATTGAGAATGGTCGACATCCTGTCGTTGATACACTGTTGGGTGAACAAGAGCAGTACGTGCCAAACAGCACCGCCCTGCAGGTTAGGATTTGAAACTTTTCATGTTGGACACTCATGTAAACTGTGTATTAAAACGTAAAGTTTGTCCCAATCTTTTTTCTTCTTTTTTCTCCATACTACGATGCTTCAGGGGTCAGGTCAGCGTTGTATGATCATCACCGGTCCCAACATGGGCGGTAAGAGCAGCTACATCCGGCAGGTAGCGTTGATTACTATCATGGCTCAGATTGGCTGCTGGGTACCGGCGGAGTCGGTCAGCCTAGGCGTGGTGGATGCTATCTATACAAGGTTCGTCATCAGGAGATGGTGGGACGGGATGTACTAGAATTTGTGCTGGTGGAAGTGGGGCCAATTGCTTAAAATGAGTAACCAACACACCAACATACCACCAACAATTATACTTCCCCCTTAAAGGGAATATACATCATTTGCTTTTGCTGTAATTTTCAGAAATGGATGGAATTGGGGGGTTGGAAATATATAGCAAATATAGTTACACTGAGTTTTTTGAGGTTTTGGGTTCGAAAATGCTATAAAAACCAAGAAAAACAATCATTTTCCTGTAGTCTGGTTCCCTGACTCCATATAAGAAGAAACAGAGCAGTTTACATACGTTGGGGAATTGTAAGGTCAGGGAACCAATCTAGCTGGCTTGTACCCGTTCATATGTGTGTAATCGATTGAAAACAAGTGCGATGGTCAATTGGGACCAGTATTTGAAAAAAAGCCAGTTTTTTCCAACGCTGGTCGGCCGACCAGCGTTGGAAATTGATACAAAAATACCACTTTTCTTGAAAATGACAGTATACCAGGTGCCATGATTTTACAGGATGCTTTACACTGTCATTCACTAACAGTCCAGCAAGGTATTTCAGAATGATTTGGTAGTTTTATTTTTTGATGTTTTTTGTTGTATTTTCCCTTTAAAGGCATAAAGGATCATTTGTATTTATCCCAAAAGTAACCTAGCAAATTATTACCAAAAAGCTAACTTGGATTATTAAAGATCCTACTGGTACCAAACACTCTGTGAAATTATTCCGTCTGGCTTGCTGTCATTTAGAAGAAATCAAGAAATACACTGGCGATTTCCAACAATCAGTCAATTTACCGATTTTTGGAAACAAAGAATAATATTAACTAAATGCTCAAAAATGTTGTGAATGGATGTGCAGCGTTTTCTCGAAAGTGTATTATCCACTGAGCTGAAACTTCAACATGTGAAGTTTTTAAGATTCTTGTTTTGATTTTCAGTGGTGTTATTAATGGAAACGAACATATATTGCATGAAGAGCAAGTAAGACCTATTATGCCTGTCATATCTGAAGTCATGAATGCGACACTGGGCAAAATTTAGTGCCAGCCATCGTTGAATTTTTTGGCCGTTGCCGCAAGTTATTTTGATTATAGTTTAAACATCAAACACACGGATTCTGTTCATAGAATGGGCGCCTCTGACAACCTGGCGCAGCATCGCAGCACTTTCATGGTCGAGCTACAAGAAGCCTCGGACATTCTGAGCCGAGCCACTCCACGGAGCCTGGTCATTCTGGACGAGCTGGGCCGGGGGACCAGCACCCACGACGGTGTGGCCATCGCGCTGGCCACAGCGAGACATTTCATTCAAGAGGTGCGTTAGCAGGGTTCGACTGATTGAAAGAGAGTGGGGGATGCACACTATCCCGGGGTGCAGAAAAAAATCTTATACAAAAATTATGATTATGCTGAAGTGCATTCTCGGAATATCTGACAGTGACATTATTATTATTATTAATATTATTAATCATTTCTGGTAATGAAACCAAGGACTCCTCAAAAGCGCCCTAGGCACTGTAGCTCGCAAGCCTGAAGAAGCCTGTGGAGAGAAGACAATGAGAAGAAGTTACAATGTTAGGGGTGGGAGGAAATGTCCAAAAGAATATTCTGGAGATAACCCATGGAATCAGGTAGGGACTGAAAACCCAATCCGAATATTGGCCCAGGTGGGATTCGAATTCGGGTCACAGCGGTGGAAGGCAAAAGTACCGCTACACCAACCTGACTCCCATTAATTATTGTTTTCACATTTTTGTTTTCCTCATAAGGTGCAATGTCTGTTACTGTTTGTAACCCACTACCCACCATTAGCGGAGCTGGAGAGGCAGTTCCCAGACCACGTGACCAACTATCACATGTCATTCCTGCTACATGAAGATGAAAAAGGTAGAGCCATCCCTCCCATCTTTACCAATTTAAACCCCACCCCCTAAGAGGTTATCTCCCCTCCGATGCCCCAGTTGTCGCAACAAGTGTTGAAACTTGTTGACTTCATGTATTTGTAACCGTCTTTTGAGTGGGTTTATGAAGATTGGGTTTTAGAATTAGCTTGCACAGTGATGATACCACATGAGCTATTAACAAAAGCAGAATAGTTTGTGTGCTTTGCTGGGTATCCGCTCCATTCACAAGTACCCCCTCACCGGCAAAGAGAGTACAGTTGGGGGTGACCGACCAACGCCATCTTGCCTGACTGCAATTCATTTGCCGCGAAGCGCGGCCACTGCGTGTACATAGTACAAATCTCCTGGTGACGTGCTTCACACACAAGGAACGGTGCGCGTCAACCAGCGAAATGTCCCGCTCATGGGACGTCGTTGCTAGGTAAAAGGGCGCCCTCTTTTTTCGGCGCACGGAGCCCATAGGCTTGCATCGCTACCTGCCATTTTTGTATCAAAACTTCAAAAAGTAAAATTTTGTATGTAATTTCTAGCTCTTTTTTCATGGTTTTAAAGGCAATATCCAACATTTGCAAACATCAAACAACAAAACTACCAAATTATTATGAAATACCTTACTGGACTCTTAGTGAATGACAATCTAAAGCATCCTGTAAAATCATGGCACCTGGTGTACTGACATTTTCAAGAATGGTGGAATTTGTGTATCAAATTTCAACGATGGTCAGCTGATTGTTGGAAAAAACTGGCCTTTGTTTAAATGCTGTCCAAATTAAGTTCACTTTTTTTGCAATCAGTTACACATCTGTGAACGGGTACAAGACAGCTAGACTGGTTTCCTGAGCTTACATTTCCCCAATGTCTATACATTGCTCTGTTTCGTCTGAAGTAGGATCAGGGAACCAGACTACACGAACAATATTTTTCTTGGTTTTTCCAGCACCTGCAAACACAAAAGGTCAAACCAGTCAGTGTAACATTATTTACTGTAAAATACTAACCCCCAAATCCATCCACTTCTGAAAATGAAGGAAATATTGTATATTCCCTTTAAAGTTTGAATTAGATGTTTTCTACTTTTATTTTGCTGATAGAAAAAGATGACACAGTGGACATCATTACTTTCTTGTACCAACTGGTACCCGGCATGGCGGCTAGAAGTTACGGTCTAAACGTCGCCAGACTTGCGGAGATCCCCGCAGAGGTCATCAAGATGGCCGCCGTGAAGTCACATGATCTGGAGGAGGTTGTCTTGGCAACCAGGTACTTGAAAATGATGCGCCATCTTCCAACCCCCTACCCCCCCCCCCCCCAAAAAAAAGTATATATCTTTATTCCTAAAAGTCAAGTCACCTTATTACCTAAAATTCTGTACAAAAATTGGAAATGCAAATAACTACATAAGTGTTTTTTTTTAACTTAAAGATAGAATTGTACAGGCTAATTCAAAAAAGTGGAGCCCAAATCCAAAAAAAATATTTTTCATATTTTAAAAAAAATTAAGCCCCAAATATAATAATGTCTTGAAAGCCAATTTCATACCTTCCTATTAGATGGAAAAATTAATGAAATTGCTCAGTCTGTTCACCTTTAAACGCAATGAGGAACAACAAAGGAATGACACAGAATGCTTGTTTCAAGAACTACAGTACACAATATCTTTATTAACAAACTTGGTAAGGCAAACAATGTGATTTATAAAATCCACTTTTTTTTTAAAGACGGGCCTTCAAAAGGACATTGTTGAATATTTTTCACTTTTAAACTGAGGCTTTATCGCTGGTGATATTTGAAGGCAATTGTGACGACGATTCTTGAAATCGCATTTTTGGGGGAAAGAAGTTTTAGGGTAATTGCATTTAAATGGTGATATTCATTCTTCAAACGGATTGAGCAATTTCAGTAATTTTTTTCATCTAAAAGTAGCTAATGAAATTTGCTTTCCAGTCTTTATTATGTTTGGTGATACATATTTTTTAAAATATGAAATATAATTTTTGGGATTTGGGTTCTGCTTTTGTTTTTACTCACTCTGTAATACAGTTTGGCAAGGATCAGATGCCAATAGTAACTTTCAGTTGTTCAAAGTTTGCACTTTCTATTACTTAATAAGCTAAATTCCTCTTGTGGTTTTTGTTCTTTTCTTTGCAGAGCAAAAAGATCATCTTTTGTCCAATTGTGGGGATGCTCGTCAGAAAACACCAAGAACACCATAACCAATTTTTGTACATCAAAACAAGCATAATTGAGCATGTTATGGTGTTATACCGACACGTTTTTTTAAAGTCGCTTCATTTTTTAAGCATTATTAGTTGCGCATATTATTCCAGGCTCTATGGGCTCCGTGCGCCAATGAAGAGGGCGCCCTTTTACCTAGCAACGACGTCCTATGGGCTGGACATTTAGTTGGTTGACGCGCACCGTTCCTTGTGTGTGATGTATGTACACCAGGGGATTTGTACTATGTACACGCAGTGGTACCGCCGCGCGTCGAGGCAAACTTGCAGTCAGGCAAGATGGCGTCGGTCGGTCACCCCTAACTGTACTTTCTTTGCCGGTGAGGGGGTACTCATGAACGGAGCGGATATCGGCATAATCTGACCTTTTATGGTGCATTACGGTTTTATAAAACATAATCAAGAACTTTTAAGACCACATCTGTTAATAGAGCATGTTCTTAACTTCTTTGATATTTTTGGGATACACTTGTAAATTCATTCATAATCTCCGTTTATCGTTTTGATTTTTCAGTAAAGACTCGTTGGGAAAAGGTTGTCTTTTCATCGAACTGATTCTGAAACAGTTATATTGACCAGAAAGCAAATATTCATCTTTTGAATGTGAATAAAATTGAAATGTGATCGATTAGATCTCAAATCACTTTTGAGTCAAGTTTACGTCGGATCACAAGACAGGTCGCAAATAACAGTACTATATAGATGAATGACAAACGAATGCCTGAATTTTTCACAGGTCATTCGAACCGCGTGCCACTGTTTCATATTTTTTTATTCATTCATTCTTTTATTTTACATATAATTGGTGTTTACACAATATATACGAAAATAAAAAATAAACGTGGATGGGGGTCTCCAAGAAGCAAATGCTTGTCGAGTAGGTACCCCCATTAATATTAATTGACAATTACATGTACATATTGTATTGACACAAAAAAACACATATACAACAAAAAGGACAATAAGTCTTGTAACCCTATGGGCCTTATTCCGAGTTGGCCATTTTTGTCAAGTTCCCTGAATGTATTTCATTAATTGTTAACTGTTAGTGGGATGGTGCCAGACTTTTTTATGCAGGCACAATGCAGCCTTATTTTAGTGCCATTTTTTTTTTTAAATATGGCTTTAAACATAAGAGAATGTTTACTTACACTGTTAAATAATTCATTGAAGCCGACTGGAATTTATTAAACATTAAGTTGCTTTCATTTCTCTTCGCAAGTTCCAAAAATTACTTTCAATTCCATATGGCCGACTCGTGAATAAGGCCCATGAGACATGTAAACAAGTAGACTAATTTTTTAGTATATACTCATCAGTAAGTAGTTTGGCCTTATTTTTTTGTTTAAATAATGGAAGAGTCAATTTTTTTTTTTATAGAAACATCTAGGGAATTCCACAACTTGGGGCCCTCATTTTTCAAGTTGACTGTATTTTGGGCGAGAGTCGTACGAGCAAAGGATTGACGAAATGCTGGTGCTTTTGTTCACTTTTTGTAAACATGGAATAGATGAAGTTGGGTAAACTTTTTAAAGGCCAGATGACTTTTGTTTTGTACTTGTGATGAATTGAAAACAACATTGGCATTAAAAAACAATACAATTATATAGAGAAAGTAACACTTTAAAGACTAATCAAACTTAAAATGAACATGGCATTAGCTTTCGTAACTACAGCTACTTCATAAGATGTAATTAAAAAATTGTGTATTATAGAAAATAGGCTTGTTTGTGCTTTCGGTTTGCGTTTTTACATTGCCGTCTTAGGCATGGTCTGCTACGAAAAGTTCACGCGCGAATTAAGTTGTCACATTACTTACTGCAATGTATGCTTTGGGTTCATACTTTAATGTCATCAAATCAAACGACCTTTGGCATCCAAGGTCACCACAAGAGGGCCCACTCTATACCAACTCCTTAACTGACGTGATTTTGTCTAACTTTTGTGGGGGTTTTTTCTTAATGGCAAAAACATTTCAAAAAAAATATTTCCATTTTATTCATGCAGGACTTGTCTAAACGTTGGCCTTACCCAACTTCAAACAAAGAAAATTGTCTCCAAAAAAGGGAAAATATAGTGTTTTCTTGCGCCAGAGGCGGCAATATTGGAATCCCAGCGTGGTATAGTTGGACATGTGACCAGTATGTGTATTTCACATCAATGTAGAATGTAGCCTATGTAAGTGACGAAAAGGCACGATGTCACAGTTGGGTGCTTCTGTAAACGGGAGAACTCAATGGACTAGTTTTTCTTTCAACAGAATTTCACAGCTCACGACGCCATTGCTATACAAATAGAACATGTTCATAAAGGGTTCTTTCACATAAGGGTTCATAGTACAACCTGATACTTTGACGAACAAAAAAAGGATTTAACGATTTCGGTTTGTGATACAACATGGAGATGAGTGACTTCAATAATAGATATGGCCACCCTTACCGGGTAAGTCATGTTCATAATAAAGGTACAAATGTATCTGTGATCAAGTGCCTTTCGTACCTTTTATTCGTTTACAATAATAACACCACTCAAAATCTAAAGAAGAATATTCATGGCGCAACTTGTTGAAATTTCAGCTCAGTGACATTTTGATAAAAACGGTGTCTAAATGCGGAACCATGAACACGAAACACGATTTCGCCTTTTCCAACGCTAAGTCTGATTAGTCTTGGGAAATTATACATTTCTCGATTTCTTCCAAATGACAGCAATTAAAACTGGACGGTGGTGTTTCACGGGGTTTTGTACCATTACGATCTTTAATCCAAATCAGATTTTTGAGGTAATTCGGTAGGTTACTTTTGGGATATCAAAACGCAAGCGACCCTAAAATGCCTTTAGCTCTGGTAATCGTACGGTTGAACTGTAACTTTGAACTTGTTCAGTTCTGCTACTATACGTTTCCAAAAATAAATACATGTATTGTCTTACTCTAGTTTGATCCTAAATAAACAGGACATGACAAATTGTATGCAGTTTCATCAGCTTTGCGCAAGGGGTGGCAATTAAACGCCGTACGAAAAATACTTTCAGAATCTACTGCTTTCGACTTGGCACCCTCCAATGTCGATACAGCGCTGGAGAAGGTGGCAGAAGGCGGGTGCTGCGGCCGAAAGCTTCTGAAGGCGCAGGATCACCCCTGATGTGATTGCACACCTCTTCGATTCGTTTGGCGCAACAAAACTTCAGAAGCTTTCGGCCGCAGAACGGGCCTTCCGTCACCGTCTCACCGTTTGTTTTTTCGTATGGCGTTTAAATCTCACCCTCTTGCACAAAGCTGATGAAACTCGCTCCTAAACTTTGTCATGCCTTGTTTACATGATCTGAAATTTGGTTATTTAGGATCAAAAGTAGGACATGGTTTGACACGTAGTAGTTTGGTGTTGAATGAATATTGAATATTTTACTTGTACAATGATTCAAACAACCTGTACAGCTTTTTATAATAGTCGAATGCATCAGTCATTTATCAATTTCGGATACGTGATCTGTTCTAACTTCATCAAAATACGCGTCATCATGCTGCCACAAATTTCCCTAAAATATTGATAGCCGCAGTGCTGTGAGGGAATGTTTTGGTCGGTTTTAGGCAATTAATTAAGAGATGCCATCAAATTGTATTAGTCATCAATTTTTGAACGGGATTTTCCCCTTTGGTTATCATGTTAAAATTTGGTACCGAGTGTTCTTCATGGTGTTGATGTGGTAAGACCAATGTTAGGAAGATTTAAACCAAACCTCAGTACTTACAAAACAGAACTCGGCTAAAAATCAGTCACTGTGGTAATTAGAGATACTTAAGCTTAGGCTGATGTCAATGATAAACTCCAAGATTGTACTCGGAATTGTGCAGGTCTTAAAGTGATGAGATTGATGAAATTGATGAGATTTATTTCAAATGCAAGCCGAACTGTGCCGTTTTAGTAATTTAGCGCTGTTAATTACATTAAACAAAATAAAATAGTTTTTACTACTGACAGCATCACATTTAATCATAAAACTCGTTCAAAGGGTTATTGTATCCGCAATCTAAATAACAGAACCCAGTAGGAAATATGGTAAGTCGCCTCCTATTCTGATTCGAACTACACTGAATTAAGCTTATTCACAGCAAATGGTGTTGAACACCTTTGAAAAACGCAACCACATAGCACGAAGAAGTCCGCCAAGGAGGTTATGTTTTCATCGGCGTTGGTCTGTTTGTTTATTTGTTTGTTTGTTTGTTTGTTTGCTTGTTTTTTGGATGGTTGGTTGGTTTGTCTGCTAACAAGATAACACAAAAAGTAATGGACGGATTTTCATGAATATTTTTTGCAGGGGTGGTTCTTGGTATAAGTTCAAATTGATTAGATTTTGGAAGTGATCCGGATCTGGGTTTGGGAGATATGGCCTGATTCCACAACTTTACTTTTAACTCTACATTAACCCCTTGACGCCGGGATTATCATGCCTCACTTTACGGGCTTACACGCATGACTGCACAGCGGCCTTTGTGCGGAACAGCTGCACGGCCCACAGACCGCATTCCACGTCGTATTACGGCTTAAACAACATACCAGGACGGATTAGCAGAAAGCGGCCAACAATGCTAGTTTCGACAACTTCAGAATATGAGCATTCCTGTTGAAATTTGAAATGTGCAATAAAATATGAAAGTCCAGTGGATATGGGAGTATTTTTTTTTCGGTGTACTAACGATTTTGGCGGGGAATTGTTCATCCTTGGCGGAGGTTTGCGCTCGCTGAGTGCTTTCTAGTTTACCCAATAGACCCTTTGGAAACAGCAGCCCCTTGGGTAAAAAAAAATATGTTTCTTTTTTTGCTGCGGTATAGCAGCTCCACAAATCATCATATCTCTCCGTTAGTCAATTCGTTTGTTGGAACTATTGAGCTGAGTGAGAATTACAGATTTACACGCAAGCATTCAAATACGAATGATATTTTCATCATTTTAATCAAGAGTGAAATATTATTTCCTTTATTTCAGAGTTTGTGTTTTAAATGTGAAAAACAAGTTATCTATACAAATTCCGTGAAATGTTCACAACTACTAGTAAATATAAAACATGTTCTTTAATTTGGCTGTGTGTTTTTATGAAATGGAGCCTGCCACATATTTTTAAAAGATATTTTTGTTCTAATTCAGTGATTTTCTTTTTGATTCTCCCTGTATTCAATTGAAAGAGTTTTTTTTATTAAAACGGCTGGTCCCCAACTCAGTCTGCGGCTGTGAATTTCCACTCGAATCGTGTGCTTTACAAACTTTAGAAATGAGATTGTGTCAATAGAGCTCACGGGTTGCTTTGTACCCCATCTGAGTCAGTGTACCATGTCGTTACCGGTACAGCAAAGCCGCTACTGGGTTTACATCGAACTAGAATGCCAACGTCTGTGAAAAGGAAAAGCGTCTGTGGAACTTTTGACCAAAAGTAAATACTCAGGGATCCCACAAACAGTTCTTGTAAAATCAACGACATGTTTTTTTTCATTCTGTTGAATGGTAAAACGCCTGACGGATGTAATGCCCCCTGCAGATATAACTTGGAAGAAAACTTTTTGATAGAAAAAAAATAATAATTTGCACTCTTTTGCTTGTACTGAAAAGGTTGTACTGAAAAAGTTAACTTTTCGTGATTCTTTGTTCTGACATTAAATTATTCATGACTTAACTGGGAGGTGTATAATAAAATAGTTGTTGGCCCGACCACTCTGCGTTTGTAACTCAAAAACTTCTTTTGGCCTTAAGAAGCGTATAACCATTTTAATGGGAGTAATTAATATCCTACAGAAATTAAATGTCTGCAGACGTTGACTTGTTTTTTTTGGTTTTTTTCTTGTGTTTATTGATTTCATACATCATCCAACAGCGCAAGCGCCAAAGTCGAAACATGTCGAGCATTTATCGGTGTATGGGCTTTGCCTAGGTTTTGATTGGTGGCCGAACGTTCTGGGCACAGGGCCAGCGGATTATGATTGAAAAGAATATTGTAAGCCAAATATCAGCAGGTTCATTGTTGTAGTCCAGACGGCCTCGACTGCGGCATTCCAAGTAGACAATAGGACTGAAATTCCGGTGCACCTGGGAACACAATGAGCTCGTCAAGTGCCGCAGGTATTTTCGAGGGGGAAAATAGGTAGTGCATGCAAACCACATGTGCAGGCGGGGGAGGAACAATGGCCTAGAGGGTTGGAACAAAAGGCAGACGTGTTTCTACTTTCTAAATAAAGTTTACTGTCAGGTGCCAGTTTTGGAATCTGGGTCGTGGCGCGTGCGCTTTAAATTCGGGGTCCACTCATAAGTCCGACGCCTCATAGGTCCGACGCCTCAGCTCATAGTCCGAAATTTCGGACTTATGAGGCGTCCGGACTTATGAGGCGTCGGACCTATGAGGCGTCGGACTTATGATACGGCCCCTTATAATTTCGGGGAATGGCGACGCTGTTGCCGCTCTGTCAAGGCTCTAAGCTCACACACTTTCCGTCAAAATACACTTGGAAATATCTATTTGACTCCCATAGTGACAGGTACGTTTCAGAATACAACCGCTAGGCATAGGGCGACCTCAACGATGACGGGTTTTGTTATTCAAATAAGTGTCTACTCATGCGTATTATATTTCTCCATGATTATATCACAGGGAACGGCAGACTGGGACCTGGAGTGCTCTGATAGAGAAGTTCAAAACTAAATCAGGCCAACTTCAGTACTCAATTTAATAGCCAGCAAATTTCTCCAAAAATTCTATTGGGCAAAGAAAAGGTCCACAGTATTTCACCAACCAAGTTTGCAGACTCAATTCAATTTGTAAAGGAGACTTTTCTTCAACATTTCGCACATGAGAGGGAAGTCAAGTGATTTCAAAATGAGGGTAAAAACTAGACTGGTACATGTATAACCATGGTCCAACTATTCGAAAAAACTGACCTCTTCATTCAGTGTATTCTAACATCTCGCATGTTTAAGGGCCCACTTTAATACTCGCCTGAAAAGGTAAGCATACAATTCGAATTAGAGGGAAGCATTAACAAACTGTTATCATGCTGCAGCCGTGCAACCATGAACAGCATGTGCACACTGTAGATTAAGGCTAGTAATTTAGGCTACCAAGTTCTGACCTCTTTAGGGCTATATGTTGGAAATATCAAGATAAAAACAACTATCTGTGTTTAAACCATTGCTATATGACGTCACACTATTGTTAAAAGTGTGGATTCGGAACTACGAATCTGTTAAACTAGTCACAAAGTGTGGATTCAGTTAAGGAGATTACACGAGAAAATGTGGATTCGTAATTAGTAAATTTGGAATCCACACCTTTGCGGGTGCATTCTTCGACTTAAACCATTGAGTCAAAAAGAACTATTGCCCTTAACGGTCCACAGTGAGAGGACATTAAACGACTTGCATATCTCGTGTGAGACGTGGCATTAGGGTAATTTACAAGGGAGTTTTTCAAAGCTTTATACGCCAAGCATTGTGGCGTGTTTAGCATGTGTATCGCCAGTTCGCCACACCCGTACAACAATGGAGCAAGTCATTTTGTGTGTAGGTTCCTTACGTCAACGTGGATAGCTCATGGGACCCCATGGGAATCCCATGGGATGCTCATGGGACATTTCTGTAAGGCCCCCACTGAGATTTTGAGTTTCTAAAAAAATTATCATTGCTCTACATGACGTGATGATGTTGTAGATATGTTACCTTTGTGTTTGCTTATAGGTTTTTTTTTTAGGTTTCATCGCATTATTGCTATTTGAATGTTATGCGAATCAGAGGCGCATACTGCTGCTGTGGTAAGATTAATGTCTACCTTTCAGTAGGTAATAACATATGGGCGTGGCGAGGGGGGCAATGGGTTCCCCCCCCCGGAAAACGAAAAAAAGGGGAAAAAAGGAAAAAGAGCTGCGAAGCCATATTGCTGTTACTTTGATTGGGAGGGGGGGGGGGCGGTAGGGCAAATGCTCCCCTGCTCACGCTTGGAAAAATGATAAATTGAGAATATAATGAAAAAATTAAGGAATTTTGGGGAAAATTTGCTTCCCCCCCCCCTCCTGCATAGGTGTAGCCGGGGTGGGGGGTATTGAACGGGCTTATACACCCTCAACAATTTGTAAAGAGTGCCCTTTTTTCGGAACAAGTGCCCTTGTTTAAGAAGAAGTGGTGTCCTTATTGTGGCATGTGCTATTTTGGGTGCCTTTTACTGAATTTCGCACATGGATCGCCCTGAAAAGATTGGCCGTTTGTGTGCATAATCGTCGTTTTTGAACAGCGCCCCCAAAACGTTTACCCCCTCCCCCAATAAAAATGACCGTGCTACGCCACTGCCCTGGAAAAATCCTGGCGACGCCCGTGGGTATATATGCGTAAAGATTAATCTGAATTTAAGGCTTAACCAGAGGCTGAGCTTTGAAAACATGTGGTCACATTTTACTCAAGAACAGTAAACTTGCCCTCACCTGATCATAGCTAAATCTGGGTGATGTGAGCACAGTTTTCTGGAAGAATGTGGAAATCTGTCTTTATATATTTTTAAAAAGACTTGTCTTTCAAAAAAGAGTTTTTAAGCCGGATTATATTTCCTCTCTTTTTATACAGACAAACCAAACGAAACTTCGCCTATGCCCCCTCCCCCTTTCACAGGCATGGAATTTTGTTATTTGTTTGGAGGTTCAATCCGAATTCCTTGTCTGGATTCTGAATCCCCCCCCCAAAAAAAAAACCCTGAAGTATCGGAAATGTTCATTATTTGAGCTTAGAGATGTGATTTTGTTTTTCTGAAAGCATGACTATTTTTACGCCGAATTTATAAGGAGCGTGATTCTAACGGTTTTAAAACTTTGGTTGTGCGAAATAGATTTAACACACACGTCAAGTTCAAGTTAACACGCAAAGGATCGGAATTCTTTAACTTCACCTAGCGATAAAGCTTACATACATTTTAAGATATTCATTTTCATACCTAATAGTCAATCATTCGTTTAATTTATATAATACAGAAGGACACACTTCAGTCTCTGATGTTGTGACACAGGAAACACCCTTGTCTGGTAAGTTTCTTTTCAGTTTCCATTACTTTATTTATGAAAACCTTAGTTGTCGAAATAATGAAAGTGATACAATATGAAAACATATTTGAATGTTTTCCCTTAATTTGCTAGTCCAAGCGATATATTATAGGAAGATTGTGAAAACCATTGTAAAAACAGGGTCGGACTTTAGCGGTAGCCCGCTGGCCAATTGCTAGTCGGAACAGCGGCGGGCTGGCTACGGCAAAGATGAAAAGACAGGAAGAAATAAATCATTAAATTCAGAAGCCAACCTGTATTAATATTTGTGTCTAATTTCATTTACTGTTTAGGCTTAAATTTTTGGATCTGTTTATTAAAAACACTGCCAAGATTTCCTCATGAAACATGTTTTACATGACTATACACATTGTTGTTTATGAGACACTATATAAGAGAACAAACTTGCGGGCTAGTTTAGCCCGGCTGACTAGTGAAAAGTTAAAAATCGAACCCTGCTTCAGTGCATCAATGTTGTCGGGGGACCTTATTTTATTCATTAATTAGATACACCGTTGCCATGGTTGCTCTCTCACTGCTGGACACGCTGACGGCACAAGTAGGATGACAATCGGAACCTTAAAACAAAAATCGGAGCATGTTATTCACCTGCCCCCAGCCTCTTTCAAGAATTAACCATAACATAGAGATCCAGAAAAGTGACTTGTTTAATTACCCCTTTGCATTTTTACTTACTTGTCTTTGGGACAGGCCCGGTTGAACTGGACTACTCAATGACGATTCAACAGAAATTTAAGGACGAGTACAACGACCCAACTTCCACAGAGTATAAGGAACTTGAAAACATGGTTTTGAGTACGGTAAGTGCAATCTAAAAAGCCCCGGGTCAAATTTGACCCGGAATCTGGATCCTATATGGAGCCTGACACTTTCCCGGGTCGCAATGTCAGTTATAGGGTCAAAAGGACAATTTCCAGGTCAAAATAATCCCCCAAAATGAGTAACGATAGAAGTGTCATTTTGAACTGGAAATAAGTGCCATTTTGACCGGGAAAAGGACAATTTTGACCCGGAAAGTGTCTTTTTGACCCGGGGAATGTCATTTTGACCCAGAATGTCATTTTGACCCGGAAAACTGTCAGAACCCATAGGATCCGTATGCCTGGTCAAACTGATCTCACTTTTTCCACCAACATAGAAACAAACCTGAAGATGACTGTGGTAGCTTATGGCAGCTATCATGCAATAATTCTCAATTATATAATGTGCCATTTGTTTTCCAACATCAATGGATCAAGCATGGCTGCTTGAATGTCTTACATCAGTTAACAATTGTTGACTGCTGTGAAGATGCGGGATATGACGTTTTGAACACCCAAGGGGCGCAAAGCACCCTAGGCGTTGGATTCTTTGGCTTTTGTTGTAAAAATCACGAAACAAACAGCAGTAAACACAACAATCATGACAATCGAACGTCAACTCACATGCATGTTGCGTGCTCGAAACAGCTAATCGTCTGCTAGTTCGCTGCTCCCACTCACGCGTGAAAACATGGTGAAAATTGCGTGGGTACCAACGATACATGCGTTTCACACCGTGTGTACCGTACGTACACAGTCTATCATAGCACACAGTTAGTAAGTCTTACTAATGGAGATCAATGGATATCACGTATGTGATATCCCACAGGGAGTGTGCCATGCCTTTTTATAAACTTAACAGGTGATAGTTCTAGGCAATGAAAATACAGTATTCAAGACAGTGGTATAACAATCAAAGTTGTCTTAGCCTTTTTTTTTCTGAACAAAAATTTGATTTACAGATTGACAACATGTTCATGAACAGCGATAAGAGTGGCGTGTATGATGGGTCGGAAGTTCGCGGCTTCAGGTGAGTTGAGTAAAAACTTTTCCAAGTGCTTGAGGGCGCATTGGAAACGGTGATGTGTTCAAGAATCATTAAACTTTCATTTGCCAGCTGAATATTTTGCCAATTCTTGCTTTTTTCCAAAGTGATAATGTCAGCAATGAATTCAAATAACAGTTTTTCTTATTTGGTTTTTCACCAATTCGCTCTGTTCACGCTCCACCATTGTGCCGCGATCTGGCAACTTTACACAATAACCGGTTCAGTGATCTGAACCCCGACCCGGGAATCACTGAACCAGCTATATCTATTGTGTAAAGTTCCCAGATTGAGGCTCGGCATGCCCATGGCGGAAGTGTGAAAAAGGTTCTAGTATAATTTTCGAGCTTAGGTTCTGTCTCGTTGCGGTCCAACTGTCCGTGTGTATTTGTTTCTGTTTTGTGTTTGTCCGTCCAAGGCATCTCGCCACAAGCCTGTAGGCTTCCAGTAGATGCCTTCATATACCTTTATATTTTCACCTCTTTGACAAACTCTTTGATTTATGTACTTAATCTAGTATTCTATGCTTGTATTTATCATATGATTTTGGGTATGGGAATATATGTGAGTTTTGAATTGAAAGCATACCGACCGTATATAACGTTGATTATATAATATTATATTCTTTTAACAAACCCTCTTTTCCAAAAAAGTAACTTCTTATGGTTTTTCATGTTGTGTCACCCTAAGCACATAAAAAGTACTAAAATCAGTCCCATAATTGTAGGGCTCCCCCACAAGGAACGAATGATTGTGTATATTATTTTCATAAAATAATGATGCATAGTAGTACGTACGTTATTATGATGTTTTTCAATTTCATAATTGACTGTACTAGCATGAAAAAAATATATGTTCAAAAGATATGCCGACCCTCCGCTTACGTTGAAGTGCTCAAATCTCTACATTATTTTTAAAGTTCAACATTTTCTATACATTTTCCATTTTCGATGCAGTAATGGAAGCGTCATCGCCAAGGTGTTCAGTCGCTTTAAACGAGCACTAATCCACGCCACTGAGAAACACTCAGACTTGAACAAGGTCCTGGACGTGTTCGTGGATGAGGTCAAGAACCTGATCGAAGAGTTTACCAGTCAACCAGGCTGCTGCAATGGCCTCAAATTCGTCACTGTCATCGTCAATGGAGGTGAGAATTTTGACTGTTCCCTTCCCCATACCAGACATAGGATGTAAGTGCCTGAGCTATCCAGTATTATGTGTGCTGTCAATCACAAGCATAGTCCAGCGAGGTCGGACTTCGCATAAAGCCTGGTATCTGCTTTAAATCCTAAACCGAAGGCATTATGAAGATTAATATCACATATCAACACTTTTTTCTTTAAAGCAAACATCGAACCACCATCACCACCTCAACCAGCAGACCCGGCAACTAATCCACCTACTGCAGCACCAACCGATCCACCAATCGTAGCACCAACTCATCCACCCTCGGATCTACCAACCGCAGCACCAACTCAACCACCAACCGCAGCACCAACTCATCCACTAACCGCAGCACCAACTCAAATACCGACTATTGCACCAACTCAACCACCAACAGCAGCAGCTACTCAACTACCGACTATTGGTCCAACTCAACCACCAACTGAAGCATCAACAATTGCTGGTATTTTCATGTTTAGTCAGAAGTTTTAGTCAGTTAAGTTTCCTCGTCTCAGTGTGCGACAGCTTTTGGTCTTCTTAATGCCTATCACTGACCCAGTGTCACACGTGGGCCGGGTATAGTGCTATCCTACAGGGCACAAGCGTCAAAGCACAACAGTGCAGTGGCACTGACAATTAAGTTGGCGGCGCCTCAAAGCCTTTTGTGTCCATACACCTTGGACTGGATGGCCAGATCCGCCACTCATCAGATGTTTACGTCACGCCGGAGGGTGGAGTTACTTGGAACAGGCCATTTTGGGGGGCGGGTGTATGCAGCTTGCGGCAGCGCCGTTGGCCACTTTTAGACTGGTGTGACAGAAACGTTGGATCAGCTTTCTCGGAAGCAGAAAAGCAGAAAAGTGGATTTGTCCAAAACGTTCAAAGGTAGAAAAATGCATTTTACAAAAACGTCTGATCTGCTTTTCTGCTATTTTGAAAGCAGAAAAGCAGATGTCCACTTTTGAACCAACGTGACAAAATGTTCAATCTGCTTTTCTGGTAGCAGAAAATCAGATGTCCACTTTTGAAACGCCAGTGAAGGGCAAAAAGTAAAACTTGCTTTCTGGTAGCAAAAAAGCCGAAAAGTAGAAAAATGCGTTTTAGCAAAACGTTCAATCTGCTTTTCTGGTAGCAGAAAAGCAGAAAATTAGAAAAATGCATTTGAACAAAATGTTCAATCTGCTTTTCTGCTATTCTGTTAGCAGAAAAGCAGATGTCCATACTGTCGGTGTAAAAAGAACCGTAACAAGTTGATTAAACGTAACAAAATGTTGCCTTCTTTCATTTAATGCATTTTAATATCACCATTGGAAACCGGACTTGCAGAAATTGCTGTACACGTTAGCATTAATATCATGAGAATTTTTGTTGTGATTACAGGCTGTGTGTTGAACTCTTGTCTGAACAACGGGACATGTCAACCATTCGGAAGCGATGGCTTCATCTGTGAATGTCTTGATGGGTTTGTTGGCACGAGTTGTGAAACAGGTTAGGGCTATCATTCACTGTATTCAAATACATAATTTAGTAGTTTTAAACAATATAAAACTATTATTTCTAAATTTCATTTTCTTGGGGGTGGGGGGGGGGGGGTTCTAACACAGTGCCAAATCTTGTCAATCTTTTGATGAGAGGAACGAGGAAGTCGAAATTACTTCACCATCCTATCCAAGCAACTACCAGAACAATCTGGACATCCAGTGGATCATCCAAACAGCGGAGGACCTGGGAATCCTCCTCAGTTTCCACGCTTTTAACGCGGAGAGTTGTTGCGACCATCTGAGTGCCGGGGAGGGCCGCGACTCTACTGTCACCTCCACAAGGGTCTTCCGTCGGAGTGGGAGCAGTCCCCCGCCTGATCAGGTTGGGGACTGCTCCCACTCCGACGGACCCTTGTGGAGGAGACAGGCTCTCAACCGGCAATGCCATGTGGCTGAGGTTCACAGCTGATGGTAGTGTCACCAGAAGATTTCTCTTTATCAGCTCGAAGCATTCGATCTGGTAAGAGCAGAGTGAATGAAATTGAGTGATTTATCGGCTATTCCACACCAGTAAACAATACATTCTTAATTAACAAATTAAACCCCGGTTCATACTTCATGCGAATGCGAAGCAAATTTGACGTCATGAAACATATTCGCTGCGAAATTCGCCCGAGTTGAAATAAGTTCAACTTTTACGAATTCGCAGCGCGAATTCTCCTCATGACGTCACAACATCGCGTTCGCTTTCGCTTTCGCACGAATACGAACCAGCCTCAAGACGGCATTTAATGGAAAATGTTTTCAATATTTGGAATCATCGTTTTTGTGTCCCAAATGATTATATAAACCATTGCAATATTGATGCTGTTTTTGGTGTCTTAACCAAGAATAAACCCCTGTTTTTCTCAAAGAAAATAAAGCCTTTGTGTGTTTCTCTAACTGCGCTTTCTCACTTTTAATTAGGAAAGTGGCCCAAGACGATTTTCAACCCTTGAGTTCAATGAAGCATAGCGTTTGTACTAATGCATAGATTGGAATGAAATAAAGTTTGTATGGTACATTGGTTATCTGACTTTAAGAGGTAGTTTGAAAATATTCCAAAACTCACATGCAGTATATTAATTTGTTTTCAACAATATATTAATTGGTTTTTTTTTGTGGGACAACCTGCAGATTCCGCTCCTTTACCGCTTGATTCAAGTACACAGTGGACCGTCACTATATCGAACACCGCTATACCAAACATTCGGCTATACCAAACATCAGCCTTGGCCCCAAACTTTTTGTACAAACGTACCGAACATTGTTGTTGGAAATGTCAACAGAAGAGCGACAAATGGCTATTATTTCCCGGTTTTTCCCCATCGATTAGTAGGAAAAGCCACCTATGTAAGCTCAAAAACTGTGTACATGGTTTAATAGTCGCACGTGTTTAAAGTCGTCTTCAGTAACTACCAAGGCGTACTTGGTAAAGTTGAAGTTCTGCTAAGGGATTGAAAATATTAATGGATACGTTTGGCGACTCCGCGTGTGATTTGTAAATGCAACAACACTGTAACAATGATCAAAAGAAGGCGCCACTAATGTGTGAAAATCGCTATACTGAATGCTACTTAAGAAGGCCTACCAGTCAGATTGAAGCACTATCTAATTTGGTTATCGTAAATACTACATAGGTAGAGGCCTACGGCTAAGCTTATACTTTTCCGTGCCTAGTGTAATTAAATGTCATCATGTTTCACGCAACAAAACACCCTTCAAAGGCTTGTCTGCGAGTTTTGAATTCACAGATGAACTTTGCACGGCTTAATTAGTATTCTAAGCCAATGGCCGTTTTCAGAGGTCGTAAATGACGATGAAAAATGTATTCGAAGGTCGGATCATTGGAGGTGGATTGGGTTTATCAGCCCTTCCTCAACTGACCAGTGCATTTCATTTACATGACTGATAAAGTCCCCAGTTTCCTGAATGACGTCATCACTCAATATTCTTACTCACGATTCATTGCTAATTAGCTTTTTTAGAAAAAAACTGCATTATTTTGTCCACCCCGACCGCAATTTAAACAAAACTTGGACTGCAGCACATGCAGCAACCCTTCTTCAAAAACCCTTGATCCGCGACTGAGGTGGTTTATACAATTTGCTTGATCTCGTGTCTGTCACATTTTGCATCCAGCTGTCTTTCAGTGTGAGGCATTCGGTTACGACTTTGGTGAATCTGAGACATGCGATGGCGTCCTTCAGTGTCCAAATGGCGATGACGAAAAGGGTTGTGGTAAGATTTTTGTTCATTATTCGATTATCGTATATAATAAGTGATTAGAAAATGTATTTTCGTTCCCGACATGTCAAATAAATACTTATTGTATTACGTATTTTTGTTCCCAGAGAATTCGGAATTTTGTCCAGCTCAAGATCTCACTGCCTTTATATTCATCAATGTTTGGTTAGATTAAGTCTCAAACTAATGACAAATAATACTGTGCAACGTTTTTACAGCTGAGACTGGGCGACATATAGTTGCTAAATCAAAGTTTGTCATTTCATAGAGTGCGGTGTACATGAGTACCAGTGCCGTAACACTATCTGTGTGAGTCCGGCTGATGCGGAATGCAACGGAGTCGCTGAGTGTCTGGATTATTCAGACGAAGGAGTTAATTGTAATGACGGTAAGAAAAGATAGTTGAAAACCTTATATTCTGATGAACCATGTGTCTCATTTTATCTGTTGAGACTCTTCTGAATTCCGGTGAAACAGTGATACAGGACAAAAGAGGAACGTCTTTTGCTGCATGATGTCAAAAGTAATCATACGATTCTTAAGAATTAAAATTTAGTTAGCATGAAAACTGCGTGTGAAACTTTTTTTTTATCCTTTACATCCATAACACGTGACCTGAAGCCCTTTCACTATTTTTGTTTATTTTCTTTTTAGCTTACTGCGTAGAAATCGACAGCGATGAATGCCTTGCCATCCTGCCTTATAATACAACCTACTTCCCGAATGACCTTGCGACCAACAACTCCATCAATGAATATCTGTCTCAACTCACGACCAACTGCACCGATAGTGAGAGACTTGCTCTGTGTATGGCGTTATTCCCGGAGTGTCCTCGGTTTGGTTCCCAACGCAGGGTCTGCGCATCACTGTGTTCCAGGGCCTTAGAATGTGTCGGTATGGACACCGACTCTACTCCTTTACACTGCGATATGTATCCGGACCGGGGTGTGTTGTCCACCTCAGATGGTTGTCTCTATGACGAAGAAGGTAAACTAAAATGCCTGACGCCATGATGACGTCATCAAGATGCATATAGATATGGTCTGAACATCCCTGAAACTTTGTGGAATATGTTGCTTGTATATATACAGAGAAGTAACGTAATTTTGAGCCTTTCTCTTTTTCTTCGATGCACAACATGACTCATCTAAATTCAAAGAAAGTTGACATCAAAGTCCACACATACATAGACCATTGCCTGGAAAAGTGTGTCTTAAAATGGCGTCAGAGTCAACAACATCGACACTTAGCACTTTTCTTTCCTCCATTTTGCTCTTTGCGATGTAATTAACTCGGGCATGTCTATCAAAATCGAAACTGGAAAGCTAAGCTCTATTCACATTTTGACGCAAAGACATCTTCTTTTTTAAGGTAGGCCTAATTCTTTTTTTTTTAAATGGTGATTGCCAAATACATACTGAATATCCATAACATGCAGATGTTGTGCAGACAGGAGATTGTGGACGTCGTCCAGCTGCCTCGCCCTCTCTCAATCCTTTCAGTCGTATCGTTGGTGGCGCCCCGTCACACATCGCCAACTGGCCCTGGATTGGTTCATATCAACTTTCTCACGGACTTCACTGGTGTGGTGCAACGTTAATCAGCCCACGTTGGGCAGTCACTGCGGCGCACTGTGGGTGAGTGTTAGACACCATTTAAAATTTAAACCTGCATACAGTGTTATGTCGAATAATTTTGACATGGTCCCGTATGGGAGTGTCAGTGTGGCCTAATGGATAAAGGGTTCATGACTGATGACTCATGATCATAGAATCAGGGGTTCTAATACAGCTGCTGGCCATAGGTTGTGTCCTTGGGCATGCCACTTTACCCGCATTTGCCTCTAGCTCTCTCCACCCAAGAGTATAATACTGTCATTAGCATGTCGTATTATTTTAAAGCTCTTAAGGACAACATGACACCTCTTCGTATAATGCCTAAACGACAACAGAATGGTTACGTCCAGCATGAACCAAGGTTGCCAGTTTCAAAGAGTGTCAGCAAATTTCTTGCGGAAGCAAGATTTATTTAGGATCGAAAACAATGTTAACTCTTGTTTAAAATGAGCAGAAAATATTTAAAGATGAAACAATTTCCACTTGGAATCTTTTTTTTATTGTCCTTTCGCAGCCGAAACCATCAGATAGTGTTTGGCAGTTCACTTTTGGATACTCCGTCCGATTATCCCCACGGCTATCGCATTGCACAGTTTTTCATTCATCCCGAATACGACGACTTGACTCATAAAAATGATATTGCACTAGTGAAGTTAGCTACACCTGTACGATACACTGACACCATCCAACCAGCTTGCTTGGAAACCGAAGACGACGAAGTGGACAAGTACGACACGTGCCATGTGGCAGGATGGGGCCACACTTCATTCGGAGGTAAAATTAAAGATTTGTGATTTATGACTGCAGTTCAAACTGTATTGGACGAGCTCTTGGTAACCTCAATGCTGAACGGAGCCGCTGCTTACATATCTTCTCATCTCATCCAATATTGAAACAAATCTCTTGGCAATTAAATTTGGACAAGTGTACATTATCATGGGCGTCGCCAGGATTTTTTCTAGAGGGGGGCAAACAATTTGCTTGCCAAAAAATGCTTGTATTTCCCAACACATTCTCGATTTATCAGTTTTAGAGGGGGGCAGGGACATTTTTTTTTTTTTTTGCTTTTCCGGGGGGGGGGGGGGGGGGGCAAGTGCCCCCCCCCCCCCCCCCCCTCCCCTCGCAACGCCTATGTACATTATTCAAGCCAACTTACTATCTGTTTTGCAGGGAATGTTTCTCCAGTGTTAAAAGAGGCAAGTGTGCCGCTGATATCATTGGAGCAGTGCAAGGCGTACCTTGGGGGACGTCTCTTCATCTCCCCCGATCAAATTTGTGCTGGGGGTCGGAGTAATGACACTTGTCAAGTAAGTAATATCGCAATAAGAAGATCCAGGTTTTCATTAAAGTCATGAAAAGTTGCTATTTTTGTAAAAATACAATCAAGCATTAACCTGTACATGACATCTGGGGAACCTCTGATGGTCACCTCCCACACATCCCGGTCCAGCGTCAGCGTCCTCAGCTCAGCGGTATCTTGATGCGCTGCGTCCCTCTTCAGCTGGTTGACGTACGAGAGTCTCCTCTTGCCCCTGCTCCTAGCTCCATCAATGAGTTCCCACAGTACTAGCGGTCTCATAGCTAGAGCTCTGGCTGATGCACACAGTGGCCTGCTAGCCTCATCTTCCACTCCCTGACCTTAGCAGAAACTCTGGGCAGGGTGTCATAGAGCTGGATATTAGGCACACGGTCTTCTCAACTGACGTCGAGTGCCATCCGAGAACGTGTCGACTGAAGCTCTCACATCGTCATCACATGACAGTGATTTTAGTTGAGATAGATTCTCTATCATTTGTAAATGTAGAAGTTTAACTTATTTTAGTTTTAAGTTATCTTTGGTTTTGCCACACTTCTGATTTAGAATAAAGGAATCTTTAGACACCACATGGACAAGCTGTATTCTTCCCAACTTCACAATTTTAGTATAACTTCCGCAGGTGCCATTCCTGATATTTACACTTCGGGTGTAACATAGTATGGTGGAATTGATATGCATATTTAAATGGGGTGCTGTGGTCCAATGGTTACGGTGTTCGACTCGTGTGCCGTGGTACATGGGTTTGAAGCCTGGCCGTGGGAACATGGTGCTTATGCTCTTAAGCAAGGCACTTTACCATTATTGCTTCGTCCTTCGGATGGGACGCAAAGCCGTAGGTCCCGTGTGTTGTGTAATGCAGTAAAGAACCCAGTTACACTTATGGCTAAGAGAAGGGGTTTGCCCCGGTGTTTCTGGCAGTGGCTGCAATATGCGCCGCAGCACCTTGTAAATCCTTATAAAGGTGCTACATAATGGGTCTCATAGTTCTCATTATAAACTTGAGGGCCTCCATGGAAAGCAGTGCCTTGCACTGATTGGAGTTTACCCTCATTAAAGATGACGTTAAAAAACTATTAATTCAAAACAACGCACGCAGTTTAAATTCAAATTCCAAATTTCGCACTCATATAGATTTATATTGAGTGACCCATAATATGTCTGTTTTGTATACTTTTCGCTTTATTTGTTAATTGAGATGTGTTAAAATGTCTATTTAAGGGCGACAGTGGAGGTCCTTTGGTCTGTCGTGGAGCAAACGGACGCTGGAAGTTGGTTGGTATTACGAGTACAGGTATCGGATGTGGTGGCGTCACGCCGGGTATTTACACAAGAGTCTCCAAGTACGTGGACTTCATCAGATTCACAATCGCTTCAGGTAAATTGGAAGTCCCTCTACTACTTCGTTTTCTACTGAAGGTTTGCCCAATACCTTATGATGTCAGTGGACACATGTCATAGGCCTACATGGACAGTGGACACATGTTACATGCCAACGATGAAACCCTAATCTATCCGATCGCACACAAGCCCGCATTGCATACTGGTTGTATACATGTACATGTACATACTATGTCCACGCACTGCCCGAGTCACCTCGGATCGCAGCCTTGATTATTCTGTAACTTTTGGGTTTGATGTTTGTCTCCATAATCTCACTACAATCAAACTGTAATCGATATCGAACTTCATCGTTATTGTCAATTAAAAAAGGAGGCTGCAATTTAATTATGCACTTTTGGGGTATTTTTGTTTCCTAATATACAGCATTTCAGCCGTGTACCACGGATCAGTTTGACTGTGGGGATTACGTTTGTATCGACGGTCATTCACGTTGTGATAGCCAATACGATTGTATCAATGCAATCGACGAGGAACTGTGTGGTAAGTTTTTAGCTAAGAGCTGTGGTTCAGAAACTTTTCCATACCGCGGTTGGACAAATTGTCGCCATGCGTATTATGATACTGCCAGAAAAGGTAAACAGACCTAAAAATTGGAAACTGGACTTGCAGAAATTGCTGTACACGCTGGCGTTAATATCATGAGTATTTTTTGTTGTGATTACAGGCTGTGTGTTAAACTCTTGTCTGAACAACGGGACGTGTCATCCAATTGGAAGCTATGGCTTCAACTGTGATTGTCCTGATGGGTTTGTTGGTACGAGGTGTGAACAAGGTAATTGACTCTCATTCACTGTTTTCAAATATATAATTAAATAGTTTTAAACAGTAATAAACCATTATTTCTAAATTTCATTTTCTTGGGGGGGGGTTCTTACACAGACCCACATCCCATCAATCTTTTGGAGAACGAGGCAGTCGAAATTACTTCACCATCCTATCCAAGCAACTACCAGAACAATCTGAACAGCCAATGGATCATCCAAACAGCAGAGGACCTGGGAATCCTCCTCAGTTTCCACGCTTTCGACACGGAGAGATGTTGTGATTATCTGAGTGCTGGGGATGGCCGCAACTCTACTAACTCTGCCACAAGGGTGTTCCGTTTGAGTGGGAGCAGTCTCCCGCCTGATACGCTCTCAACCGGCAATGCCATGTGGCTGAGGTTCACATCTGATGGTAGTGTCACCAGAATGGGTTTCTCTTTATCAGCTCGAAGCATTCGATCAGCTGGTAAGAGCAGAGTGAAGGGAATTGAGTGATTTATAGGCTAATGCACAGCAGTAAAGCATAGCATCCTTTAGAGAGATTTAGAGATTAAACCCCGGTTCATACTTCATGCGAATGCGAAGCAAATTTGACGTCATGAAACACATTCGCTGCGAAATTCGCCAGAGTTGAAATAAGTTCAACTTTTACGAATTCGCACCGTGAATACTCCTGATGCCGTCACAACATCGTTTTCGTTTTCGCTTTCGCGTGAATTTGAACCAGCCTTCAGACGGCCTTTAATGTTGAATGTCTTGGATATTTCCATCGTTTTTGTGTTCCAAATGATCATATAAACCTTTGCAATATTATTGCTGTTTTTGGTGTCTTAACCTAGAATAAACCCCTTTTTTTCTCTCGTTAAAACTAGGCTGTATATTAAACTCATGTTTGAACAACGGGACGTGTCAACCAGTAGGGAGGTCTGGCTTCAACTGTGAATGTGCTGCTGGGTTTGAAGGCACGAAGTGTGAAGCGGGTAAGAATGATTGCATGAACTTGAGCTCAGAACCCTAATTGCAACATCAAAGGACACCTGCTTGATATGATATTAATTTGATTTGTTTCAAACAATGGTTATTGTTTCCTTCCGGAACAGTGAGTATCTTCGTCGGTGAAAACGAAACAGTTGAAGTCACTTCGCCAGGTTATCCAGACAGGTTGCCAAGAGAAGATGCAGCCATTTGGATCATCCAGACAGACGAAGACATGAAGATACTAGTTGATTTCAATGATTTGACCACTGATTACTACGACTACTGGAAAGTTGGAGATGGAGTCGATATCGATGAGTTTACTTTTCTGTCATGGAGTCGACGAACGCATCCCCTTCCGAATCTACTTTCGCATGGAAGCGCCCTCTGGATTTCGTTGTCGTTTTCTTATTCCTTCGGCACGAGAGGATCATTGTTCTTCGATGTAGCTAGCGTTCAATACACAGGTATATGCGAGGCTGAACATTTCTCTTTTCTAATATTTTTTTTGGCACCCAGAAAATGCTGCTTACGATGACTTAATGACTTGAATGACCTTGAATGTAATTTGTATGATGAACGTAAAACATTACTTTTGGCCTTTTTTCCCCTTTTTGTTATTTAGAATCTCTGACATGTTCTGCTGCTGAAATTGATTGTGGGCATTCTGTCTGCATCAACAGTGCCTGGCGGTGTGACAGTTATGATGACTGCCTCGATGGCAGTGACGAAGATTTTTGTGGTAACTATTATGCTTGAATTACTGTAGGCTTTGTCGCGGACAAAGTGAGAATCCGCACAACATTGGAATTCCCACTGGTCCGGTTGGGCAATGTGGGAATTCTAATACTGCCTGAGGAGGAATGCATCCAAAACTTATTGTTCAACGTACTTTGATGATTGTCATGCGAACCTTTACACAGAAGCATATTGTGCCAGTAAAATTTTGATTTTATTTTGTTGTAGATAAGGGGTTGTTAAAATCACCCATTGTTAATATTCCTACATTGCGCTGAACCTGGGCAAAGTGGGAATTTCCGTCAATGTCGATGTAACTGCCATAGTAAGGGTGTTGACATTACTATTTCTCCATTGCGTTACTACTAAACCTGGGCAAAGTGGGAATTTTGATAATTTGATTTACTTTTCTATAGGTAAGGGGTGTTGAATTTACCCATGGGTAATATTCCAACATTGCGCTACTACAGAAACCAGGCAAATGGGGATATTACTAATGGACACTTTAAACAGCCGTTATACTTTAGCAAATTAAATTAAAGTAGATCGAAATTCCCACTTTTCCCAGGTTCTGTATTAAGGTACATTGTGCCAACATTCTCGATGTTTCATTTACAGACGTCTTACCTGTAGCAGGTTGATCGAAATTCTCACTTATCTCAGGAGCGCAATGTAGGAATAGTACATAAAACAACATTCCCACTTTGCCGCGCGCAGTGTTTGAATTCCCACTTGCCCTGGGCAAATTCAAAATTCACCCAGATTAATTCCACATTGTGCGGGACAGGCGTGATGGGTTAAACCAGTGAACGAAGATAATACATGAACTTTAATATAAGATCGTCCAAAATGTCACAATGTGGTTGCACGTTTGGCCTCATTCAGAAATTCTCTTTGGCAAATACAGACACATTATGTCCAGGGTAAAAAAAAATGAACGGCAGAATATTAATCAAACATAACTGATTGAATTATATATCCACGCGTTTGACTGAGTAAACTGCGACTTTGCTGTTATTTTATGTAATAAGTTGTACTAAGCGAGTTGATATTAACATGATTTTTAAAAAAAATGAGTTTTTGTGTGTGATTATTTTAGGTTGTGTGCTTAACTCTTGTCTGAACAACGGGACGTGTCAACCAATTGGAAGGAATGACTTCAACTGTGAATGTCCTGATGGGTTTGCAGGTGCGAGATGTGAAATAGGTAAGAACTATCAATCACTGGTATTCAAATGTACAATTTCAAATGCAACTTCGATGAAATTGAATACAAGAATAAAAAAAAAAATTAAATTCGCTTTTTGTGGGTTTTAAAACAGAGTCAATTATACGTATCAATCTTTCGGAGAACGAGGCAGTCGAAATTACTTCACCATCCTATCCAAGCTACTACCAGAACGATCTGGACATCCAGTGGATCATCCAAACAGCACAAGACCTGAGAATCCGCCTCAGTTTCCACGCTTTCGACACGGAGGATTGTTGCGATTATCTGGAGGTTGGAAATGGCCGCGACTCTACTAACTCCTCCACAAGGGTCTTCCTTCAGAGTGGGAGCAGTCTCCCGCCTGATACGCTCTCAACCGGCAATGCCATGTGGCTGAGGTTCACATCTGATGAGACTGTCACTGGAGAAGGTTTTTCTCTATCAGCTCAAAGCGTTCAACCAACCGGTAAGAACATGTTGAAGTGAAAACCAATCTTTCATAGATATTTAATACTGCATTTACTGAACTTGTACCATTTACTGCATCTATACAGAACCACAATTTCTTCTGTCATTTTTTTTCTATTCAACTCTCAGATCTTTCCAAGTGAGCTCATCAAGTCTGCTTCCCTGAAGTGTTTCAGCCATATAGAGAGCAAGTATCGCTGGCGATGACAGGCATTACTATTAGATTTGCTACACGAAGAGGTAACTATAGTGGCATCATGTTTTATATCTTTCATTTTCTCCTAAAGTCTTCTTTATTAAGACTTGCCTGTTTGCCAGCTTGTTGGCCTACTCATAAGCTGGCAAAATAATGTATAGTCAGTGTAGAATTTCTCATCTTAAATATCTGCTTTAAATTTACAAGATTCGCGGACACGTTCATATGGTGGTCCTCAAAAAGTTACAGAAAGGGTTATATCAAGAACCATTAACCGGATTCCAATTTGGTCAATTCCAAATTAAAATTTGGTTAGTCTTTGGGATGTATCCTTTCAGTAATTGAAAACAATAACTAGATATTTTTGGACTAATAAAATACCTATATTGTGCGCTTTCATGTATATTTTGGAAATATTTCAGACAGGTCTTTTTGAGTCTTAGTTATCGTTCGGCTAAGAGTAAATCTGCATTATCGTCATTTGGGAATTCGGGAAAATGTTATAAAACTGTTACAAAAAAATTGAACTTCGGAAGCAGTACGGAGATTCTGGCGGACCAAATATTATTTAGTATTACTTAAATTATGTGTTCCAGAATTCTTGTCATCAGGAATTTTTAAATAATTTTAATTTACTTGCTTTCTGTTGTACTGCAGAAAATTGTTCTATTATACACAGGAAAACGATCGTTATATTGTACATGTATATGCACTTTAGTGAGAACATTCGCCCGCAGTTTACATATGATTATGTATTTGATTACTACATATAATTATGTATTATGACATTGGATTTTTCTTCAAAATGGTACAATCCACATATAGCAAAATCAGAAAGATTAGTTTGTAATCAAGAATTTTATTGTTTTCATTTCATTCAATTTTTGTTTAAATTTACCGCAGAAAATCATGATTTACCCAGAGATACGTTTATTAATCCGTACATCCCCTTATTAGAACTGATTTGGGATACTCGGAATACTATTAAGAATTGGGTATTTTTTTTTATTTTACCTTTTACACGATTATATACCATACATGTAGTTCCCTTTTTATTGCAAAATGTCGCCCTCAATTTGCTCACACTAAACTGGAACATTCTATGATGTATGCAATCTATATGTAGGATAATCAGAATTGGTGGGATTTGTTAATCGAGAATTTTAATATTTTAAATTTTATTTTTTTTACTGCAGAAAATGTTTCTATTAAAGCTATTATAGCAATACGTTTGTAATACCATAGTTCCCTTTTATCGCAAAAGATTGACCGCTATATGTTCTCGATTGGAATGTTCTATGTAGGGCATATGCGGGCCACATAGTACTGGGTATAATCAGAATGCTATTTTGTATTTCAAATTTGTGTAATCGAGAATTGTAAATATTTGTAAAACATCTGTTTTGTTTTTACTACCTAAAATTATTCTATTCATACACAGATATACCGTGGGTGCCTTGGATGCAAATGATCGCCCGCGATGTATATATTCTAGATATATTCTACAGGGTGACCCCACACAAGTTTTGCAAGCAGACATCTTTAAATTTCTCAAAATATATCCAACATCAGCATTTCGTGTTGATGGAATACCGGTATATTGTTTGTATTCTTGTGTATAATCACAGTGAACATTTGATGAAAATCCATTCATGCAAATGGATTACTACAGATTATAAGTGGCAATTTTCACCGTTCCAATGTGATATACACAGCTGATGAAAAGACCCATTGCAGAGTGCCGGTTTAGCGACTTCGAATTGTATTGAAAAATTGGTTGAAAACACGCACTTTTATAACCTGTTACAGCTCTGGTTTGCAGGAATTGGTTTCCATGACATTTTCACAGATTTTTTTTCCATTTTAACAAGAGTAGGCCTATAATGAAATACTAACGTTAGATACTTTTGGGAATTTTAACGATATTCGCCTACACAACTTGTTGAGGGTCACCCTGTTGCATGCATGCAACATCCACGCATGGGATAATTAGAATGCTACTTAGAATTGTGTAAATGTTTATTCCAGAATTATTTTCTGTTAACGAGAATTTTATTTCAGTTTCATTAAAAAGATATATCACTGCATGAAATCATTCTGTTATACACATAGAGATATTTATTATTCTTAAGTTGCTTTTTAGTTCCAACATTTAATTGGAATGATAATTTACAACAATACATTAACCCTATGTTGATATGCCAAAAAAACTTAAATATTACCCAGTGGTTTCTCATTAGATGATCACGGTCTTTTGAATGATGTACGTACGTTTTGGGTAAAATCAGTCAAAAGTAATGATTTTTGCCCTCATCTTTAAAATATTGGTCGCCCCTATTGGTATTCAGAAACGCTTGTATTGCAATAAAATTTCATGTAATATTTTGTCATGGTATTTGACACGAAACTCTAGAAATTTGACCAGAACAGCTGAAGAATGAATGTAATATAATTAAATGAAACTTCCGCTAGGGGCGACCAATAATTGTCGCCCCTAGCAGTTTACTAAAAAAAGCTCACCGCTAGGGGCGACAATTATTGGTCGCCCCTAGCGGAAGCTCCTTTAGGGGCGACCGTTATTGTTCGCCCTATAGCGGTATACAGAAACGCTCGTTTCTCTAGGGGCGACAAATAGTGGTCGCGTCTAGCGAAAGTTCCTGTAGGGGCGACCGTTATTGGTCGCCCCTAGCGGAACTTTCGCTAGGGGCGACCAAAGTTGTCAACAACTTCTTACAAAAGAGGGCGCGCTATACAAACACTGGGAATTTTAATTTGACCCATAAAGACACTCCGTATTTTTTCATCAAGTCAGCAGTTATTGTGAAATTGGGAACTCAAGATAAACACATTGTATTGCAATGAAATTTTCTGTAGTATTTTGTCATGGTATTAGACACGAAAATCTAGAATCTTGACAGGAACTGCCGAAGAATGAATGTAATATAATTTAAGGAAATTGCAGTACGAAGGAAACTCCGTTTTTTCTCGTCATGTCAACACAGTTATTGTGAAATTGGGAACTCAAGATAAACACTTTGTATTGCAATGAAATTTCCTGTAATATTTTGTCATGGTATTTGACACGAAAATCTAGAATCGTGACAGGAACCGCCGAAGAATGAATGTGATACAATTAAAGGAAATTGCAGTATTTGAAGGACACTCAGTATTTTATCCTCATGCAACAATTTCTTACAAAGGGGGCGCACTTCACAAACACTGCTCACCGCGCTCCGACGTCTGGCAGTTCGAGATGCAATTACAGTTATTGTGAAATTGGGAACTCAAGATAAACACATTGTATTGGAATGAAATTTTCTGTAGTATTTTGTCATGGTATTTGACACGAAAATCTAGAATCTTGACTGGAACCGCCAAAGAATGAATGTAATATCATTTAAGGAAATTGCAGTACAAAGGACACTCCGTATTTTCATCATGTCAGTACAGTGAAATTGGGAACTCAAGATAAACACATTGTATTGCAAAGAAATTTCCTGTAATATTTAGGGGCGACCAATAATTGTCGCCCCTAGCGGAACTTCCTTTAGGGGCGACAGGCGATTGTTCTCCCCTAGCGGTATACAGAAACGCTCGTTTCTCTAGAGGCGACAATTATTGGTTGCCTCCAGCGGAAGTTCCTTTAGGGGCGACCGGTTTTGGTCGCCCCTAGCGGAAGTTCCGCTAGGGGCGACCAATACTTGTCGCCCCTAGCGGTATATAGAAACGCTCGTTCCTCTAGGGGCGACAATTACTGGTCGCCTCTAGCGGTAGTTCCTTTAGGGGCGACCAATAGTTGTCGCCCCTAGCGGAACTTCCTTTAGGGGCGACCGGCATTGTTCGCCCCTAGCGGTATACAGAAACGCTCGTTTCTCAAGGGGCGACAATTATTAGTCGCCTCCAGCGGAAGCTCCTTTAGGGACGACCGTTATTGGTTGCCCCTAGCGGAAGTTCCGCTAGGCCCCTAGCGGTATATAGAAAGGCTCGTTCCTCTAGGGGCGACAATAATACTGGTCGCCTCTAGCGGTAGTTCCTTTAGGGGCGACCAATAATTGTCGCCCCTAGCGGTATAAAGAAACGCTCGTTCCTTTAGGGGCGACAATTTTGGGTCGCCTCTAGCGGAAGTTCCTTTAGGCGGAAGTTCCGCTAGGGGCGACCAAAAATTGTCGCCCCTAGCGGTATATTGAAAGGCTTGTTCCTCTAGGGGCGACAATTACTGGTCGCCTCTAGCGGTAGTTCCTTTAGGGGCGACCAATAATTGTCGCCCCTAGCAGTATGAAGAAACGCTCGTTCCTCCAGGGGCGACAATTTTTGGTCGCCTCTAGCGGAAGTTCCTTTAGGGGCGACCGTTAATTGTCGCCCCTAGCGGTATATAGAAAGGCTTGTTCCTCTAGGGGCGACAATTACTGGTCGCCTCTAGCGGTAGTTCCTTTAGGGGCGACCAATAATTGTCGCCCCTAGCGGTATGAAGAAACGCTCGTTCCTCCAGGGGCGACAATTTTTGGTCGCCTCTAGCGGAAGTTCCTTTAGGGGCGACCGTTAATTGTCGCCCTAGCGGTATATAGAAAGGCTTGTTCCTCTAGGGGCGACAATTTTTGGTCGCCTCTAGCGGAAGTTCCTTTAGGGGCGACCGTTATTGGTCGCCCGTAGCGGTATATAGAAACGCTCGTTCCTGTAGGGGCGACAATTATTGGTCGCCTCTAGCGGAAGTTCCTTTATGTACCCCTGGGGGCGATCAATAACGGTCGTCCGTAAAGGTATGTACCTCTGCGGGCGATCAATAACGGTCGTCCGTAGAGGTATGTACCTCTGGGGACGATCAGTAACCGTCGCCCCTAGGGGTATGTACTTTCCGTAGAGGTAAGATTGAGGTAAATATCGATGATTTTTTTTCAAAATCTTCATTATATTGGGTGTTTGAATGTTGATTGATGCTCCTCTTGCTTGTAAATGAATTTCTGCATAGTTTAAAGAAAATTTATTTTTTGGCAAATTTCATCAAAAATGTAAGGCTTACCCCTTGTGTTTTTTTTCTTCAATTTTGGCCAAAAATGAATCGCTTCAAATTTGGGGTGAAATTAGTCAAAAATAATGATTTGTTTTCCTCTAAATATCGATGATATTTGCCCAAGTCTTCAATATACATGTATTTGGTGTTTGAATGTTGATTGATGCTCCTCTTCCCTTAAAAACAATTTCTGCATAGTTTGAAGAAAATTCATTTTGAGGGCCAAATTTCATAAAAAAGTAAGGTTTACCCCTTGTGTTTTTTTTTCAAAAAATGAAATTGCTTTTAACCTCAAGGACAAAATATCAATCTAATACAACAAATAAAACCCCTTGTATTTTTTTTTTCTTCAGATTTGGCCCAAAATATGAAATTGATGGAAACTTGCAGGGAAGACTCCTTAAACCCACGGATGTTAACTGAACCAAATTAACGTACAAAAAACATAACACAAAAGTCCAAATTCGTTCACTTTAAATTTATTTCACACGTCAATTTCATTCGATCCTCATAAAGTTAACCAATTTTACTGATCATATAAGTGACATTGAAATATGAGAAAATAAAATATGTATTACTCATAGTGAAGTTAAAATGCAATGATACTACCTTCTGAAAATTTAAAAGAAGCTAAAATGATATTACATCAGTAACATGCAATAATAAAGATCATGCTAACGTTCATTGTTATATCGTGTGCTTGGATACTGATATAAGATTTGAGGCTTTGCATGGTGGGGTATCGGTATCGTTTCGGTTTGCGGCAACACCATGTGGTAATAACTACTGCTTAGAAGATATTAGTTCTGAAAAGAACTTGTCCTGCTTATTATCAACTTTGCTAAGTAGTTTTTTGTTCTGATAAGAACAGTCCTGCTGTAAGTTCTAAACGAACTTGTCTTTGGTCTCAACGTTTCGACTAGCCTGCTCTAGTCATCGTCAGGAGACTGGCTTGGATACTTGGATACTGTTTGAACATTTGATAGGCGCATACGTTTCAACCATTTATCTTTCTGAGTTTATATTGGCACGATATAACAAAACAATTGTTGACTGCTGTGATGTGGGATATGACGTTTGTAACACCCGAGGGGCGCATATGAGGGTGCTATGCGCCCATGGCGCCCAAACGGGAGTTAAAAAGGTCACAACCCACATCACAGCAGTCAACAATATTAAGTGAAAAATAGGAGAACATATTATTATTTAATAATGACACGTATTATAGAATATTGATAGTGATTGCACTTACAGGTATCATACGGCAAACATTTTCACAGAACAGTATCTAAAACAAAGATATAAACAACAAACAAACAATGCCAAAATTTGGCCAATGCTGACTGGAAGATATGAACTGGCAAAAATTGATCATTTTGCTAATGTAAAATTATTTACCAAATTCATTATATCATAACACAGGTGAACTGTTCTGACAAACAAAAATATCCAAAATCGGCAGATTGTAACTGCCATTAGTAAGGGAAGATCTTTTTTCTTTTTTTTTTCTTACATATACATGTATCAGTTAAGTGGGGTTGCATTGCTCATGGCGGTGAAATGGGCAAGATGTCATGAAGAGCACAGCAGCCACCCCACCCCCCGCCCGAAAATTTCAGTAATTTGAAAAAACAATAAGGGGTGATCTAAAGAATGCAGCACACTACAGGCCATGCTATAACACATGATGTATCATGTGCACTGAGGTCATGTGACTAATGACATCATGTGACTAATAACATAATCAAACCACTGACATAAAAACCAATGACATCATGTTGGTAATGATTTTATGTGATTAATGACATCATGTGACCAATGGCATGATGTGACCAATGACATGTGAATGATCACATCATGTGACCGACAACATCATGTCATCAATGACATGTGACCAATGAAATCATGTGACCGATGACATCATGTGACCTCCACAACGTCCTCGTAGAGTCCCATTCGCACCCCTTCGTCCAGGCTGTCTGGCAGGCCACTGTCACATGACGGAGGGTGGAGGTAGGCGTCACTTTGGAAGGACATCACTGGCTGGTGGCTGGACCTTTGCAAAAAGTGATTATAGTCAAATATTTTAGAAGTTCTTAAAAGTGACATGAACGTCTATCAAATCTTGGCAATTTCATCTAGAAGGTTATTATTATTGGACTCTTGTTTATTTTGGGAATAGATAAGCAGATACATATAGCTCCATTTGCTCAGAATTGGGAATTTATGCTGCTCCAAGTGACTGCTCCATGCTAAAGAATCAACATCATCAAACTCCACAGACACTTCATACCAGATCTTATTGCCAAGGAACATTTGATTATTGCAGCATCAGAAGAATGGAAAAAAAGTACCTCATCAAATCAAGATCAGCCCATCCTTGGAAAGTTTCAAATCACAACTTAAGACACACTTGTTAAATGCTTTCAGAAGTGCATAGAGACATTTCTTGTGCATATGCGCTATATAAGAACTGTTAATTATTATTATTATTAACATGTTTCTAGACCTTGAGTGCCCAGTGTGTTGGGGACGTGGTTATGCGCTACAACGTACCACTGAGTTGGTCTTGGCCCAAGACTTGATTTGGATTTTATTCCCCTTTATAAAGCCAGTCCATAGTAAGCAAGGTCGCTATCAACTAGATGAATCAACTCCGGTGTCACGGTCTCACTTCTCCGGCGTGCTAGCTTCTCCGGGTGGATTTGGCGGGTAATTGAGCACGTTACAGTGCACGTTACATGAGCACAATTCATGCTCATGTGTCCGCTGTGCTAACTTTTCCTCGGGCTGTGAGGGACACCCAAGAATGCGTTATGTAACACCTCCTGCGGGTCAAGTCATATTGCAAGCATTCTGAAGTTGTGTTCCCATCGTCATTGCGTGTGGGTTGAGGAATAATTAAGAACCGTGTTCCTTGCTTGGTCGTGGTCCATCACATGCATGTTCAATTTGCAACCACGTTCAACCACGGTTTAAAATAAATGTGCATCCTTCAAGTCTTTTTGGGTATTATTAGGATGTTGGTTTATAGTTAATTGCGCGCTAGGTCTGGATTCGATGGTACCCTGTGACGTATACAAAAGTGCACCAGTACAACCCCAAAGAACTCAGCACACAAATAAAGTTGGCGAAAGTGAGCACTATACTGCGCAATTTTGTGCATGCATGTTGAAGCGAAATGTCCAACTTGGAGAAGCTAGCACGCCGGAGAAGTGAGACCGTGACACCGGTCTTGGCAATATTGGCAGCGCTACCCAGGAAATTTTGATCACTTCACACTCGCGTTGTTTTCAAGCCAATGCATGCGCGTGAGGGATGCTCGGAACTTCCTGGGTAGTGCTGCCAATGTCGCCGAGACTGGATTTGATAGATCTTGTTGAAAGAGACCTCCACCGCTGAGGCAACTTTACCGCGTTTGTCATGGGAATGGACCAAGATTACCACTGAGCATGATTTGTACATTGTTACCTCAATGGATTCCAAAGACTTTTTTTCAGAAATCTGAATTTGCAGTTTGGGAGGGGAGGTTTTCAGATCATCAAGGTATCCATTGGAGGAAACATTTGGATAATACAACGGCTACCTTTGAGGTTCTTTCCCCAGTTCATCCAGTGAACTGAAATACAAACAGCATGCAAAACTTAAAATGAATAGGAATGGAATATACAATGAGAAAACAAAAAGGCCCCCAGAACAGATATGATAAAGCATACTGCCCGATGAATTTGCTTCAAGTCTAGCCAAAACAGAACACCATGATTCACTTGTCTTGTCTGTAATTTCCACAGTATTTTTGAGTAGGGATTTTATATGGAAAATGCGGAGGAAGTGGATGCCTGAGCAGATGGAGAGTTATCTCCGATGATCTTCCTTCACAGAATCATGCTGTGTCCGAATTAACTGACTGTGACTGGAAATTACACACATGCCTATCATGCCTATGGAAGCAGCTGCAGCCACATCCCATAGACTTGGTGTGTTACCATAGAGCTATATTAAATTACTAGAGCACTACCTCGTCATTCTGCGCGTGGAGACGCTTTGAAGCCGTCCTGGGCGCAGACATTTTGAATTCATGTGCGTGTTTGTAGAACATAATGAAATTAAATGGACTAGTGCAGGGCCAGTCGAAAATGTGCGTGTTCGGAAGGGGCAGTTGAGAACTGCAGCTCGTGCAAACAACGCACATTATTCAATGGTGTGAACGCACACTCGCAAGTTAAACACACAAAATGTCGTCATCCCCTGGCACTGATATTTACCCCTACTGGACAATATGGTATCGCCCTACAACTGTAGGGATACCATATTGTATTAGAGTTGCTCAGTCGACCGCCTACATACAGTGCAGTGATGGTTGCTCAGTTGACTACAAAATACATGTGCCCGTGCATGCCACTCACGTATATGTACGTACGAAGACATGGTGTGCAGTGCTATCGCCCTACAATGTGCCCGTCCCTTTTGCACTGCTTGCGTCATATTGAGCACGCGCGCTTTAGCTCGAACATGACGTAAACAATTGAAAAGAACCCCATGATGTGCCCGTCCTTTTTCCATTGTTGCGTCATATTAAGCACGCGCGCTTTTGCTCAAACATGACGTAAACAATTGAAAAGGACGAAAATATGCCTGTTCGGGAGGGGCAAGTTGAAAATGTGCCTGTTCGGGAGGGGCAAATTGCTTGACCGCTGCATTTTTGAGAATTTTCGTGCAAACAACGCCCACAATTATGAGGAAGAAAAGTGTACCATTGCTTATTTACCCTCTATTCTATGCGCGGACGCGGCATATTGACGCCATAGATATAGAACTATACCTTTGATTGACGTGGCATATTATTCTACACGCGGCTTATTATTCTATGCGAGGACGCGCGCTTTGGCTCGAACATGACGTAAACAATTGAAAAGGACTGCGCGTGTTCTAGGCTATACTCTGCCACGTTGAAGCTCAAAAAATGCTGCTTTTTTGCAGCTTTTTCGAGAACCGCTCGTCCAAACCACTTCAAACTTGGCACTGCACATTCTGCTGTCCCGAGCAATACACCCGCCGATTTTCAACTTCATACGGTGCCCGGTTCTGGAGATAGACAGACAGACAGACAGACAGACAGAGATTCCTGGAATTATAGTAAGGATTGAATTTTGAAAGTGTACTCTACATGCAACACGCAAGTAGAACATACGCAAACAACTTAAGTGCGTCATTGTGACGGAAAAAAGCATCGGCAGCGAATACGCGCACGCGTTGCGCTGTTTGTGTAGAGCAAAATGACACGCTCATTTGTTGATCGTGCATTTTGGTTTTGGGCGTATTGGCTTCGATAACGCACCGGTATGGAATACAAACGCAGATATGCAAATAGCCGTACAAAAGCCGTACAAAATTTCTTGTTCACCATAGGTTTGTGCACAAACATGGATGCGCCCAGCAGGCATTACTTTGTACACGAAGTTGGCGCTCTAGTAATTTAATATAGCTCTATGTGTGTTACGGACGCAGCCTTACAATCAGCTCAGTGAGAAGATCAATTAGCGCCCTCAAGTGTTCATTCAAAGAGTCTATAAAGGGGGTTTTCGAATAGTCGGCTCCACCATCAGGTTTGCCTACAGGACATTTTTATGCTCGTGACATGGGGGTGCTCTGACTCTGCTTCAGGATGCTGGCATAATGTCCTTTTTGGCTGTTCTTGATAAGTTTGAAGCCAGAGCTGAGGCTGGAAACGTGGCCGGGACTTCGCAAACCACCAAAGTTACCCACATAATGTATCAATTCTTATCCCCAAAATAACCACAACAGTTAAGAGACCCCTGCATGAATAATTTTTGAGTCTGTAGGTCCTTAGCAGTGGTGGGATTAAAAAAAACACCCTTCCAAAAATTGAGCCTTCCATTTTTGTGAATCAAGCTAAAGAATACAACTGGAATGTCTCCCAATTTGCTCCATGGTTTCTAAAATCTAAGAACTGAAGAAATTGTGAAATGCTTTGAGGTCGGTGGAAATCTTTCAAAGTTGTTACTCACTCGTAGCTGACAGTTCTGAGGTTCTTGACTTTGAGGAAAGTCAACAAGGACTTGGGCACATTGTCTTTGTCTAGGAGTGTCTGAATGAACAAAAAGAAAAGAATGGATTAAAACTCTTCAGTATCACAATGTTTACCGACTTGAATCTCCCAAGAAATCATTAGAGCGTGAAAAATAGATCTTTTAGTAGAAAACTCACACTTTTCAGCATATTTTTTCACCGTCAAGGAATGATTACAATGGCAAATATCATGCGAGAAGATTGCTTCTTCATCTTTCCTCTTTCATGTGATGTGAAGATTACGGCCATGTGGGTAAAACTAAGAAATGTTCTGCCATTTTTTGTTCTTTATCTGGTCCAATTTATTCATCAAACTGCCAGTTTGTTTTATCACAAGGAAATGGAACTCCATACCTCAAATTGTGCATGCATTATAATTCCACACGCAGTTTTCTCTGGTGAGGGTGGAGACTAATGTTGTACATCGTGTCGGTTTGACCATACCAAACTGACCCAAAACTTAATAGATATAAACAGCATTGGACCCCAAACCGATCTGAACTCCCTAAATCCGACCCGACCCGCCCAAAAATCGAGCAAAAACAGACCCGAACCAACCCAAAACCAAACCGACCCCAAAAGCCCGTATATCTGGCTTGGGCAACTGCGTCTGATTTTTGCGCCTGAAGTTACCTGGATCACATGAAAATCATTGTCTCTTCATTAAGAATCATACTGTACGGTGCACGGTTCAAGATTTATTACCTTCTGGTGGGCCTACACGTTATAGACTGTGCACGATAGACTGCAAAACTGAAACCGACCCGACTGAAATGATGGAAAAACCGACCTGAAGAGACCTGAAGTCGGTTTCGGGTAGGGTAGGTTTCGGGTCTGGCTTGCACAACATTAGAGGAGAGGGGTTGACCAAGCATTGACTGGGGAAAGGGGAGGTTCTGAGGTGGAAAGGGGGTGGGATTTGGAGGGTGATTAAACACAGGAAAGGGGTGCAACATTCAATTTCTTTCACAAATCTTCTCCCCGAGTCCCATCACGGCCTGCCCCCACCCTGGGAATGAGAAGTCAAGATTACAAAGTAAATAGAGCATGTTGCTACAGGCACATTTGTGCCAAGTCTGTCCACACAAAGCACAGCCCACCTGTAGATACGTCTCCAACGCCTGCCTTCTCTGTTCGATGCCTTTCACTGTCAGTGATCGCATTTTCTTTGGGGGAAAGTCGGGCGTCTCAATGGACTTCTTAACCTTTGAAAAATAGAAGCAAAAATACTCACTGAAATTTTTAAGTTTCTGTAATCTAAAAGAACAAGGTAAGATGACAACTCTGTTGTTGGTATATAAGGGCTCTGTGTGCAAACAAGAGAGGGCGCTGTTTTGACCACATTCGACAGCCCCGTGGACGGACCACACCGCGTGCGTAGGGTGCACGACTTCTGAAGGGGCAGAAAGCCACAGCGTCTCCGCCTGAGCGTTAGGCGTCTCACACTTCGTCGGTGATGCATTCAATGTCACTTGTAGTTGTCTTTCCCAACTCTCCCTTTCTTACCGTTGAGGGTGGTATTTGTACACAGACCCCATTTGTAAAGTGGCGTTAGGATACTACATTTTCCTCCGCAAACCTATGTACCAATTTCAAAACTGGAAAGACTGGACAGTGAAGCAGACAGCAATGAACTAATAACAATGCTTAGTTTCAAACAAAGCTTACATGTACATTGTACTTTACCTGTTTATGTAATGAATGGAATTCACTGTATCGCTTCTCAATGACGTGGGTTTTACCGGAGACTTGGACGTGCACCTGGTAAGTCTGTGTGATTAAACAAAGCGAAACATAGACATTTGTGTTTCATTTTAGAAAGATATGGGCTCCATGCACCAACAAAAGAGGGCACGCTTTTGCCACTTTTGAGCGCTCCGTGGACGAGACACTCCGCGTACGCGCGCGCACATTGTACCGTTTTGCATGCAAAGTACCCACTACTTACTCAATGTGCCAAAGGTACTAGTCACAGCGTCTTCGCATGAGCATCAGGCGTACGACGCGTAAATATGTTTGAATTTCACTTGCGATGGTTTCCCAGACAAATCCTCGCCCCTAATAACTTTGGATCATTCAAAGTACATTTCATGATTTGTACGCAGTGGATGAACCGGGAACCAGTTATTTCCTTTGTACATGAACTATGTTTGTACACAAACCAACTGCCGCTCTGCCTCGACACTAACTTGATTGGCTGTCAGTAACATGCCTCCTTTTCACTGCAATTGTAGGCTGAATCTTCCCCATGGATCATTATTTTCTTCAAGGACCTGTGTAGTGGTTATGCTGGACAAGGTTTGGGTGAGTCCCACTCCCAGGGAGACTGAGTGTGTTTCTGGGACGGAAAGATTCCCAAATCTGGCCATCACTATTTTTTTCCCTTGAGTGACCTAGCACTATCAGCCATCAGACAGTGATGTCCTAAAACGTCAAAATTAGCACAATAGCAGGGAAAATATTTAAGTATTTACTGAGAAAACACTTAGAAATTTTCAGACCAGTCCCACAGGGTTTGTGCACAGTCAGGGTGACAAGTGATGCCAAAACTAAAGAACTGCCTGATGCCTGACTGCCTCTACCATGTCTACTCCCCCTCTAGCAATAGCATGTCTAGGGATTAAGAATTGGTCAAAAATGTGTCTTACCGTGTATTTCTCATCATCCTGCACGACCTGCCTGATGTTTGGAATACAAACACTGATCATGACAAGGCTGAGAAAATTTTACTGGAATAAATCATCCGTAAAAGGACAAAACCTCGGTAACAAAACCCCGTGTGACCTACAATTTTGCAAGCTCGGGTGGAGTACATGTAGGGCGCCCTCCATAGTTGAGTTCCACTCAGGGGATCGGGGCGCAGCTTGCGCTTGGTATCGTATATATCGTTTTTAATAGACCCGTACCCCCGTGTAACCTCTTTCGTTCTTAACTTCACCGATATGGAAGGATTCCTAATTTATTGCTTAATATTAATAGCCATGTTTAAACAGAGAAAAAAGGAACCCATGGAAGCTATAGAGCATCGTTTGCCGAACTAACTTTGTTCCCATTATAGAAACAAGAAAACTAGCGCCCTCTATTGACATAGTCAGAAACATTATTCGCACGCACGGAGTGCAGGCTATGATAATTCGATCGTACCCCCGCCCTGCAAACAGGACGCTGATATTAATTCACGCTCTGATTGGATAGATTTTTCGTGGCCTGTCGGGGTGCAACCCTGCATTAAAATTCCCATAGACACTAGCACTTAATGCCAATACTTCTTAAATACTTTTTTTTTTACAAATACTCAGCTTTGGTGAATAACAAAATGTTATGTGCTGACCAAGCATTCACGGGTCGGATGACCCACGCCAACCCTTTAAAGGACTCTTCTGGGATCTCGACGGTCTCGGCCTACACACGTACTTCCTTCCATGTCCATCCATAGGCCTATAACCCCGGAGGGCCATATAGGCCATATAGGCCCATATAGGCATATAACCCCTCCGGGGTTATCCCCCGAGTGGACCACATGCCCTCGAACCTGTACGAAGATGCACAACCTGGACTTCGCAGACTGCAGTCCCAGCAGCAGCGCTTATAGGCCGCCTTTACACAGGGCTGCGACCTTTGTACCACCTATGAGCGACCAAGATGGCCAGGACGCTCAATGGTCGCCTAAACCCAGAAAATCCTGTTTCTATGTAACTATAACTGCTCCAGCGATCCTTGTGGCCTCCCTTGAACCACCAAAACTGCAATTTTCGGGCATTTTCATGTCGACTAGCGACCTGTGCGTCCACTGTACAGGAAACTGCACATCCGTGCCGAAATGTAGACATGTTTTTTCTCCGGGACACTTTGCCTCCGTAAAATCAAAGGGGGTGGGGGAGGGGCTGGTACCCACCTCACAAATGGGGGCGCTCTTCAAAACTGACCATTATTATGCATACTGCAAATTATATACCCATTTTCACGGCGCATTGTAATGGTTTTTGAGTGGGTTTTCTTTTTTGCCCCCTCTGCCCCCGCCCCCTGGATACGCCACTGCGCGCCGGGCTTGCTTGGTCATTGATTTCGTCGCATTTTTTAAGCTCTACTATGCATCATTATGTTGTTTACACTATATGTACGCTTGAGTCGAACACTGCCAGCTTACTGTGCACTCGCACTTATTTCCATAATACAAAATGAATTGATGAAAAGGTTTAACATTTTTTTTTTTTTTCAAAATACATACACAAGTCTACTTGATGAAACAGTTTGGAAATACGAGCGATTTAAATGGACTCACAACACCTTTTATTCAGAAATAAAATACAAAATGTCAAAAAAGATTTTCAAACAGCTGCATTCGGCGAGTTAGAAAAAAAGTTTGCAGGTAAAAAATTAGACACAAGATGTAGCAGTTTTATTTACACACCACTATGGCGCTAAGTGGAGCGGTAACATACCCACTCAATATAGGGCCCTCCTATTTGTATTCACCAAATCTCAACTTGCTAACAACCACCTACCAGCTAATGGACTGATCCATTAAGCCCCGTCAGCTGCGCACGTGGGAAAGCAACACGTGCACGCTTCATCAATGCCAGAAAGGGCATAAACCAAGGCTGTGATTGGTCAAACGTCAGGGGGCGGTACTTTTTAATGGATCAGTCTATTGCACGAACTTGACGTATTTTGCATGACTAAACTTGCATAAACATCCCATAATTGACGCTGCTTATTATTACTATAATCCAAACACGCATATTCAGTTGCAATGACGTACCTAATTTTATACATTTACATTTTGCATACACTGGCGTCTCTCTTAATTGCATAAACTATTAATTAATATGTACCAATTCGGGTCAAGCGGTTTTAGGGCTATGGACTCGATCTGTACCGTGCACCGCAGTGAAGCCCTCAACGTTAAAAAGGAGAGAGCGACTGAGGACACTTAACGTTTCCACCGTGGGCTCATATTCATGTCTTGTGTTCATTTTCTGATTATAAAGACACCAAATTCTGTCACACAAGGTCATTCTCTTTGGGTTTGAAAGCATCAGGATTATTATGAGCCTTGGACTGTACGTAGACGACGAAGATGATACCAGACCGAAGTCTCCCACATATACACATATAGCACGGTAACAAGTGCCACAAACCAACATGTACGCTCTGCGAATCGGCGTTTTCATCGCGAAAAATTGTCCAACGGATATAATTATAGTGGTAACTTTGGCCAAAAGGCGATGGGGACGATATCGATACGAACAAATACGACTAGGCACAACAACGCCCCCTCGTGCTCACGTACCGAATCTGCATAAACACCACAAAAATCAATTTCTATCACTCGGAAGGCTGCACACAACAACACGCAAAGATACAGACGACAATCTTGGAGTGCTTTTTCATTCTTTCCTCCTGTTTCTTGATTTTCTTCTCACTCCTACTTTCCTTCCGGCTTTCCTTATTTTTCGCTTCTTTGTCCTGCTTGTTTCGGCGTCTGACGAAAATCCTGACGAGACCTCTTCCCGTGGATGTTGTCTTGGCCGTCTCATCATCTGGTTAACATACAGGAAATCCAGGCAGAAATTTCAGAATTTCCATTTTTAGACAGAGGTTTTAGATCTCTTATATCATGGCTGCAGCATGAGTTGCCTTAAAACATAAACATGCCTTCCCCCATCATGGGAAAGTTCTTTCTCTACCTAGTTAGCTCCAGATTTTAGTGGGCATTATCTTTTTGAGTTTAAAATAAAAACCCCAATAAGATTTCCATGTTTTTTTTTAAATACTTTGAGCGCCTCTTTAAAGTTCTGATGGGCCTTTGAAGATTTTAAAAAGAATGAAGCATCATCAGAAATCAAAATGGTATTGTTACGAATGATGGTATCGCATGTAGCCTTGGATTCAATTTAAAAAAAAACATTGAAAATAAAAAAAAACCTACCACATTTTCGGACATTCTTTGGGTTCTTCATTTCCGTAGCTACCTCGTCTTTCATGGTCGTCTGTTCAGTTTTCTCGTGGTCAGCATCCGTGCTCGCTTTATCTCCTGTTGCCATGGCCACATCATCATCATCACCATCATCCGTGGTTTTTGTTTCCTTGTCAACAAGCTCTCTCGCAACATCCTCAAGACTAACTCCGCCGGGAGGAGGTGTAGAAAACCCTGAGGGGGTGTTTATGTATAATGTATACATTTAAAGACATCTAAGAATCACTTGTATTTATCCCAAAAGTAACCTACCGACTATTATAAAATAAAAAAACACACTTACTTAGGCTAAATATATGATAGTACTAGTAATAAAACACCCCGTGCAATTATTCCGTCTGGTTTGCTGTCATTTAGATGAAATCAAGAAATGTACGATTTCCAACGATCGGTCAATATAATGGTTTTTGGAGTAAATAGTGCTTTTGATCAAATCGTGTTTCGTGATCAAAAGGTTGTTCATTGTTTTTCACCGTTTTCTCGAAAAGTGTTACATCCACTGAGCTGACACTTTAACGGGTCAGGTTTTGAACATTCCTCTTGGATTTTGAGTGCTGTTAGTATTGGAAAAACACAAAATGCATGAAAAGCAAATGATCCTCTAATGCCTTCAATCAAACTACGTTCGGGTGTGTTTGCAATAATGCAATTAGTTAGGTTTCTGTGAATAAATGCGATTGACATTTTTTTGGCAATGCTCGTATATATGAAAAGATATCGATATCGAGTTTGGAACATGCACCCAAAATGTCATAATTAATTAAAAAGAAATCGATACAACTTCTCTTGTATTATGGTATTCGACAACGGCCAATTAATACATGTCGGTATACTTAATACGAAATAGCAAAGAGGTTTCGTTATTTTAATTCAATGACTTAAAAGTAAAAAAAAATGTGTAATCATTTTTATCAAAGGAGAAATAAAGACCTGCCCTTAGATGTGCCATCCGATGTGAGGGGTCTACTGCAATCAGTTCTAGACACAATGGCTTGAATATGGGAACAAAATAATGTGCTTGGTCGGATTTAAGCAAGTACGTTTAAAGCCCGCCGCACACGAGAGCTATACGTGCTGAGCAAAACGTCATCCGAGACCGTTTGCTGAGCACATAGCTCACAAAATATTCCTGTGTCCGGTCAAATTTGCTGAGTTTTCTGACTGTCTCGCAAGGCTGTGAGGAAAATATCTCCCCTGTTTGATTGTTTTCGCCTCGCGAAGCGAAAAACTCACCGTGTGCGGACAACCTGAGCTGCGTGCTGAGCTAAATAGATTAAAGCCAATGAAAGCACAGTATTCTTGTTTGTCGGTCTTGTGATAAAAAAAAAAAATGGGGGACAAAGGCCAGCAGGCTTGAGAAGAATTACACAATAATATCTTAAAATCACTTGTACAGAGTACGTGATTTTATTGGCTAGTCCAATTACATGATAAACATATCGACGAGAAACGCACAGAATTTCAGACAAACAAAACTTAACGTACCAAATTACGTAGGGTTGTCTAAGGGGCGTGGCTACGTGCCAGCGAACGATAGGTAAATTGATAAACTGTGCCAGCTATTTATGAATAACGATTAAGATCTGCAGCTCATTGTCATGGAGATGCTCAGCAGAGAATACTCAGCAAAATTATGTGCTAAGCAAAGATCAGCTGCGAACCAGTCACATACAGTAATGCCGGCATGAAAATTTAGCTGGTAACCATTTTTTTCTGGGCGTGGCAAATTTCTGTACTTACCAGGTTCGTGATATTGGCCCCTGCCCATTAGCACGTGGTCTCTTACCTCGATTGTCGGCGGGTCTGTCTCCCTCGGGGCCCTCCCCACTGTCCTCCATCATGCCCACCCTTGTGTCACCTTCTCTCCCCCTCCATCCTGCGAGAGGCAACTGCCTAGACTGAGCTTGCCCGACCAGACACCGCAGGGGCTTGCTGACTCACCGGGCCCGCGACTGCAAATGTTTAGCATCCCCCCACCTTCAGTGCTCGAATCGCATTACAAATTGCATGATTCACCTGTGATCGTGTGCACCGGGAACCGAATTTCAAATGAGCGATTGTCCTATGCAAATCTGACTCAACTGACCTTCACAAAGAAAATGACCTGAACGACCTTTCATTTTGTTACATTCTTTCATCATCTTCTCGTTATCTCATCAATGAGTGATCACCGTCAAATATGCCCATCGGCATGCATTCCTTGTCTCCACTCGACTCGTCTCCTAGCAACGCATCTCTATCCAGTCATAATGCCACCACATGACTCATTGCCATCAAGTACACATACATTCGAGACGTTTATTCTTTCCTTTCTGTATAATTCTTGCCGATTTCCCCCCCATCGATTTAAACCTCCCTAAAACAGGTTTGAAATGTATGTTGCTATTACCAAGAGTAAATTGTATTAATTTATCAGCATGAATCATCGCAATCACAAATTCCCCTATTTCCCTTTTCAAATTTTTTCTCTCCCTTTTCGTCTTGAATTTTCTCCTTGTTAGACTTGATATTTTGTCTTCTTTTCTTCCCACATCCCCGATGTCAGCCTGATCACTCAGGATGGCCACCTTGTTAATTGTATCGGTTTGATTACAGACACCGCTTCAGTTACCAATAACTCAACTGGATTCGAATATGCAAAGGCGGATCTGGTCGGCATTAAAGTTGACGGTGCAGGCGCTGCTGTAATCCTCAACGAGGAAGTTTGTGCAATTTCGCCTCCCCCCTTCCAATTTCGCCCGGTTTCTGAAAGCAAGATTCGTAGTCCTTACAAATTAATCACAAGTCATTCAGTCTAAAATGTATTCAAATGAACTGTGACATGTTAGCGCCTAGTTGACAAAATCGCTTCACAATTATTGCACCTGCTCATCAGGCCATAATAAGACAATTTTTCAGTAGCAGCTTCAGATCGGCGCAATCTTGTCTCTATACCCCTCGCATGCAGGTACATATGTACCGTTTACTTCTTGGTGGAGAGAGGCAATTGTTGTAAGGTGTCTTGCCCAAGAACACATATACCATGTTTCTTGTCAGGGTTCGAACCCGTGTACTGTCGCTCCATTTTTCCTGTTATTCGAGATTTCTGACGACTTGCAATGGACTCCACTATAACTGAATGATGAAGGCACTGATTGTATACATTGTGAACTTACCTAAGAAAAGCGAATCTGAAGTGGAAAATCAATTATATATCTTCAACTCACTGTGGTGCATCCTTTCATTTTGATATCGTAAAAACTTCCATGTCAAGTGTTTGATTTTCTGAGCTCCTTTATTAATCACAGAAATATGTTCAACACGACACTAAGATAATATACTTTTTAATTGTTATGCCCATTTGGAATTTTGTTTAAGCAACGCTAAAAAAACGCTAAAAAAAAATAATGCGAGCAAAGTATGGTTGTGAAATATACTCGGGTTCAAAACATTTCTGTTTGCCATATTGTTGTTCAACCATTTAATTAAATAACAATCGAAACTAGGCCCCGACGAAAAGAAAAATGGCAGGAAGAATAACATTCCTTGCAATAAATAAAGTTGTCGGCAGCGGTAGGTAATGTACATCGTTCATAAAAACAAGTATGTTGTCTGTACATAGGATCTCTTTTAAGGACAAAAAGGATCCATTGTGCTGAGTGCAGAGTAGTTGCAGACTAAACAATCCTAAACATTTTTAAAACTGGCTGTAAATTAGTGGGTTGTACGGGGAAAAATCATTAGAGACAAACAAAAAGATAAGGCCAGTTGAAACATGTAATAGCCGAACATATAATAGCAGACGGGCTGTAACAGCGGAGGTAAATACTTTTACAATAAATGGTACATATGGTTCTACGTTCCTGTGCACAAACTGACTTCTTTCACATTTCGAATATAAACGCTCATTATCTACATTATACAATATGTGCACCTGTTGTTACAAATACGAACAGTAAAAGACATTTAATCGTCACGATCAACTTAATTTCTAATGTAAGAGGTTTATATCTTGATAGCTCCAACACAAATTATGGACCATCGTGAATGATCATACTTTGTAATAATTCTGTCAATGCTATGGTTGCCAATTTTACCAACACCGTTTCTGTTGGGAAAACCCTTTGATAAAGACGTGATGAAATTGTAAATCTCTTCTTTAATATCATCCCCAGTCAAATTTCAAATTATGGGTTCATGCTCAAAGCTCAGATGTGAGCAAAATAATAACGACTGTTGTGGAGACTGTATATCAGTGAAAAACATGCTATCGGCTCTGCATGCCGCGTCACGTATCAACTACTAGTTCTTTCATGGGCCACCTCTACATGGAAATGTAGTTCCTACTGGTGATTGGGTGGATTTCAAACGCACGTGCTCACAGACGTCGCCTCAGTGCGAGACAAACGACGTGGCGACCGGTACATCTCGGACCGGTATGAAGAGTTAGCGCCCCCTGTTGGTGAGAATCGACTGTTGACAGAGCGCCCTCTCTTTGGGTTTCCCGACACCATCTGGCGCAGGTGGTGTCGATAGCTGGTGCCCGCGAGGGCGTACACAAACGGGTTAATGCAAGAGTTGGCGTACGTCAGACACAAGCAGAAAACATTGGCGTTGAAGATGTGGAAAGATGCTCGGTGGGTTTCGTGATCAAAAGCGTTCCAGACGTTGAGGGCCTGTTTGGGAGCCCAACACACGGCAAAGAGCATGACGACACACAGTACAATCCTGGTCGTCTTCCAGGTTTTACTAGCGGTGCGCGCCGAGCTCTGGGCCGGGGGAAGGCCGGCAGAGCGAGGGTTCTGAGACAGTGGGCCGTAACCAGCATTCGAGGAAGGCTCCCTGGTCCTACTCACCCGACTCAGCTTCCACAGGTGTGACAAGATCAGGATGTAACACACGGCAATGATAAGGAGAGGTATGACAAACGTGGACAGGCACATGTAAAGATAGTAGCCAATAATGGCGTATCGATCTTCTAGACTGAACAGGCAGTATTCCCTGAGCTTGCCGTAGTACCACTGCTCCTCAACGTCAAACAAGAAGGCGATTGGGATGTGGACAATGGCAGAAACTGAAACAGTGCAAAGAGAAACCACCTTTAGTAACATTATAAAAGATTGCTCAATCGGGTGAATAAAACACTATGCCATTGACAATTCGTTATTACCTCCGCCGAGGAGTTTATGCTTCATCGTGTTGGTTGGTTTGTCTGTAAACAAGATAACTGAAAAAAAATTATGGACGGATTTGCACGACAATATTTGTAGGGGTGGTCCTTGTTAAAAGTAGAAATTACATTTTCGAAGTGATCCGGATCTGGGTTTGGATCCAGGATTTTGTTTAAGGATTCTGCACCATTTATGCGAGTATTTCTTTTGGCTGTACTGACAAGCATTTAGATGGCTCCCTCCAACACTCGCATCATCGCGCCTTGGTTTCCCATCCTGGTATTTCTCACGTCTTCCACATTGGCACAGTGGGGCGGGTAATTAGCCTTGGCGGAGGTTTGCGGTCTCTGAGTGCTTAATTTTTATCTGTTGTGGGGACCGTTTTGGTACAACAATCCTACACATAAAGAGAGACTTTTTAGACACTTGGTGGCAGCAAACACACTGGTCCTTTTCAATTGTCTGTGTCATGTTTTAGCTCATGTACGCATGTACAAAAGACGTACTCTAAAAAAAAACCGAGTGTGTTGGCTGCCACCAAGCGTCTTAAGTCTCCATTATTCGCGAGCAACATCACGACTAATTTTTTTAATCCCCCTCTATTTGATCATAAACGCTCACAATGAGAATGATAGTATTCCTAAGGCCGTTATTTCCCTTTTTCTAAGCTCCGACAGGAGATTCTACATGTCACTTGGTGATCAGTCGGTCCGTCCCCGGAAAATAGACCAAAACAAGCCGCCTAACTTGAATTTCTCATAAAATGTAACTACCAAATATTAATTTTCAAAATAAGCAAACAAAATAAATTAAATACTAACAAAAAATGTTTGTGACAATTTGGAAAGATGAGAAGTTTGTAAATTGAGGCAAATTATGTGCAGCAATGTTATAGTCACGTGCCGTGGTATTCATCACAAATTGCTATTAATCTAGGTATAAATCTAAAGTATGGTGTTCCATATGTGCCGTCGGCGTTGTATTTTTGGGCGTCGCATTTTTAAGCTTTGGCAGGGATCATATTGATAGATTTCATGTAAGACTTTCATGCAATACGGCCAGCAGAGCTTATGTGCACTCGCACTTGTTCTTTCATAAGCCATGCTTTCTCACCAGAACATGCAACGAGATTTCCCCCCACTACAGCACACACACAAGACGTAGTCATATTACATTTGAATAAAGACGCGTCCCCAGACGGTAAATTTCTTGCCGAGTGTCTGCACCCCAACGGCAATTGGAACAAGCTATCGATTCTACTTCCGTGAGCGATGGATATTGCAGAAACCTAAGCCACCGTTACAAAACACCATTCGATTCCATGAACATGAGAACTGTTCCATTGTATACTTCAAAACCGCCTTGAACCAAAAGAAAAGCATACGCTCTTTAAATTGAAACTAAAGTTGGTTCCGCAACACTTCGCATTCGATATTGGGAAACTTTAGAACCAATTCAGTGACGGGGTCTGTTACTACCCAACTGTCAATCTTGCAAATTTCAAAGCTGTGTTGTGTGACATTTGAACACCGTTTTAACAGTGAGGAACCTTTTGGTATGCTGATCTTGCATTGCATTGCATTGCGTCCTACATTGTGAAATGCATAAGATTTTCGTTCGGGAAATCATTTTATCCAACATCCTGTTGATTTTACGCTTGAAATATTGAATTACAGAACGCCAAAGGGTCACGACGGAATCTCCAAAACGCCAAATTTCCCGTGTAATGGGACACCTGATGTCTCAAAACTCCCAAGTCATGTGTTGACTTGGCGCCAAATTTAATCCAAACATCCGTCTAGAATTTTTTTTCTTGAGGTCAATCGTTTACCGTGTGCGCCGTATACTCGACATTTTTTCCGGCAAGGCACTGCTTAAAATTCTTAAGACAACACCGCCGTGATTCGCGTCCGCTGCACGGCCGGCTCGCGATGCCATTAGCCCCTGGTGTAAAAAAAAATAATCACCGGACTTCCCTGCGAGTCGTTTGCCATCGATTTCAACAGCATTAATGACATGGCTTGTTACTTGCCGCGATCTATCACAACACACCGGGAGGAGGGGACTACACAAGATCTAAAAACCGGAGTGACATCTACGGTCCTTACACAGAACAGCCGTAGGGTATTGGGAAATATTATGGGGACACCGCATTGCCGGGTGGGTATGGTAGAGGAAGACGGTATAGACCTTTCTATTGTTTGTAAATATTGAGCGCCATTTTGTATGGGCTGCCGCAAGCGTAAGAAAATGAAGCCGTGGTTGGCAACATATTTTGTTCCAAAAAAGTCCTCATAACACCATCAGGACATAAGAAAAGAGCATGTTTAGGAATTATTTTGTAGCATTTGTTGATAATTTTGTTTGTTCAACAATGAAATAATATTGTTGTAATCATTATTTACTATTCTTCATTGTTGTAGTGTAGGACCTTCCATAATTTGTCAACCCTTGGTTGGCAAAATGTGCCAACCACGCGTCGGCGGTAGAACGGTCTATAAAAGTACTGCCCGAGGCCAAAAAATAGGAAGGGAAGGATTTTATTGGCACAAGGTGCTCAACTTGACATAGCTAAGTGGTGGTAACATTTCAGTATACAGTTTCCGAGTACCGAATTCGTGTTATCCAATGGAAGGCTTTTAAGACGTTGGTGGCAGCAAACACAATGGTCCTTTTCAATGGTTTACGTTTACGCCATGTTTAAGCCTAAACGCGCATGCTCAATTATATGACGCAAATAATGGAACAAGGACCGGCGTGTGTGCTTCCATTAGTGTCTCAAAAGTCTCCCATTGATCCAGAATGGCTATACACTGAAAGTCTTTTCACGCATCATGTCTACACAATAGGCCGGATTTAGCTCATTCGTTTGAGTAATCCTATACAATAGCACTGCCCGGCTCACAAGTGACAGTCAGTGAGTTCATCAGCCAGTGAGTCAGTGAGATAGGTACAAAGAGGATGCAAGGCTGGTACTCTTGCACCAACACTATAGTTTTGGCGAAAATGGAATACGAGATAGAAGAAAGTCATTTCTTTTTCGAAACTCACATATCCAAATGGACGCACACACCACCCCAGCCCTGAAGATGGTGCGCGTGCGCCGTGAAGAGAGCGGACACATGATGACGTAGTACCTATCAACCGTCATGACAGTCAGTGTCGTGCATGTCGCCTGGACCGACACCTGTGAACAAACGGGAAAAAGACTGTCCCTTAAAATTACGTCAAAAAAGCGTTGATGCTCGACAATGAAGATGTTGTCTTGTGCCCCTAATTGCCACTTTTAAAGGGTGCAGCTGGTGAGGGGACATTTCTTCAAATGCATATTGTGAAGGAAACGCGTAGCATTGACGGTATCTTACTGCCTTATGCACGCGTATTTTATGTTTTCCCCGGTGAAAATTCCAACTGGTACCAGTAGATCTGGAAATCGGTAACTGGTTTTGATCGAATGGTATGAATTGGTTTTGAACCAGTTGAAAGCCGCTCACCAATTTCAGTTGAGCTGCTTTAAACTGATAGTTTTCTCCAAAGGTTTTGACCCGGCTTACTGATTATCCCATGAGAACTCCAGAGAAATCAGCCGATACCAGCGCACCCACAAATAGGAACGAGCATAAACGAAGACGCGACTGTGTGCTGATTAGCCCCTATACATAACCTCGTCCCCATGACTTTAGATGTTGATTGGTTTTGTCATTTCTCCTAGTTGGGGCTGGTTGTGGTGGAAGTGGTGGAAAACAACGGTGACTGGTGTGGTGACTAATAATACATCATATTCAAATTATCTCATTTCATTATCGTCTACCGTTTCTTGCAGAAGTCCAAGATGCCTGTAAATATTTCACTCTCAGCCCACAACACACACCTTGAAACGCGGGACAAATTTGCATTTTGATTGAAATCTCCCCGAGTCTTTTGCCTGCAGCCAAAAACGGGCAAATTGCAAAGGCACTTGGGACATTTTCTCTGCCCAACTCTAAAGAGGGGTGTTAGGCTCCTGGGGAATTTGGATGACGAAGTTGTGCCTTGTTCCACGAATACACAGTTTCTGATTGCGATTGAGGTGCAGCAACAACATAGTGAGGTCGGAGATTTCAGTGCAACTCAACAGATTTTGGTTTTGTAATATTCGTAAGATTGTTTTTTTTTTTAACTGAAGGTATCGACTTTCCAGGAAAGAATCTTCAACCGAAAGTCACATAATTACAAATTATTATTTTTAGATCGGCCTCTTGTACCGGTCACATGTATTTTTCAATACCGATCTGTTATTTTCGTGGTGCGTAATTACGGTCGAGCTGATGCATTACAATGCGTAAGAAATCGGCAAATTCAATTTGGTGCAGAAATTTGATAACAAAAGCCATTTTTTTATAGAAACTTCCCATCATCAAGAGAAATGCAATACAATGACCGACAGAGAAAATTCCGACTGGAATTAAAAGTAGGAAAGATAAACCAGCAGGGGGATGAATAAATTTTTCTTTTGTGTATAAAACCGGGGTAATTTTTTGATTTGTAAACTAAATGCATGGACGCGTTATCAAAACAGGAATATTGCGAGGCGCAGGGTGTTTTCTACTGATATTTTCTTCAATATAATATTTCATTTTTCAAACAGAAATGGGGCGCTCAATTATGTTTAATTTGGGTTAGTTATATCATTGGGGCAGTTTGGATACAGAAATTCGGGTTTTTGTCTTTTCGTTTATTGGCACGTTTGAACTGTTGCTTAGGAAATGCACGGGGGTGGTGAGGCTGATCCGACTGTGAGTTTGTGTCTCAATGAGGAATGTTAACCAAAAATCCCTTTCACCCAAAACAATGCAGTTTTCCTGATCAAATGGCACTAATGCTTTGATTAATTATTTGGCACTAATGCTACATACCAAAACAAAGATTTACGAAATGCTTCATCAATTTTATAAACACTTCCTGGACTCGTGGCGTTATTTGATATTTTCTGCTTTGATTAATAATAAAAGAGCATTCACTTTAGGGCAAATCCACGGTAACTATATTATTCTATATAGTCCAACCATTCAGGGTGGATTTTTTTCACGAAAGATTATTTGAAATAAGTGACAAAACTACACAAAAAAGGCAAACTATACTTCAGTTGGTTTGCAAAAGGTGTGTTTTACCGGTAATTCACATTACATGAAATGGAAATGGACAAAAATTAAGTGTCTTACGTTTGAAAGTTTCATCATACTGTGAACTGTTGGAAAAATCTGTTCAGTGCCCTTACATTATTAGGGTGTAAGTCATATGCCACCATTTCAATTATTAAAAAAAAAACCGATGAACTTTTGGTAACTCAAAAACTCTTTGGTACCAAATAAAACATGTTCACAAGAACATAATAATCTCTCAAAAGAAATATTGGCATAAAATATGAAACTTTCTTTCCAAATGAAAACCAAAGACTCTAAAATCCTTAATTGAAATGTAAGCTCCCCCCAAACGGTGTTTTTTTTGTAAAAAAAAAACACTTAGGCCAAACCATATCTGATCTCTCTGGCACACCACTCAAATGAAAGTTCTTATTGTCCCCTTTAATTTGATACCACATTGAGGTTGTGATGCTTGTAGTTCTGAAGATCTCATTAAATTTTCCACTTTCCAGCCATGCCCCTATTCTCATGGAATTGCCCATTATGTTTTTTATTACCCATAAAACTGCAATAATGCTTAATTGGAATTGGAAAGCACCGCTGCAAATTGGCTCACTCACATTCAAACTGGTGTTCACACGATAAACAGACATGTTAAATTCACACAAGCGGTACAAATGCATCGTCCGTGCTGACGAAACCAGGCCAGCTGCCATTGTGACGATATTCGTCAATTTTTGTTGAGTGTCAAAGACCCTTACAGAAGCCATTGCAACATTAAACAATCGCCTGTTTGTGTGATTTTTGTGAAAAACTAAATACCCTTTGGGTGCACAACCTATATTTAAAGAACATCAGCTGACAAAATTAAATAAGGAAAACTGTTGGGGTTTCATTAATTTTGTCTAAAGTTTTGAAGATTTGTGTTTCTTTTCAGTAAACTATACTTTTCAGCAATTATTACAATTTTTGTGGGGGTGGATTTGGAAAGTACATACGTGAATAGACGGATATTGACTTATTACGTTTACATTTTACTAAAATTTGTCATTTTTATAATTTGTAATTGTAGTAATTAAGCATGATATGTCTACTGTAGGAAGCCACACAACGCCATTGTTATAGCGCCCCGTGCTTACTTCCAAAAAGCTGGCCAACATGGTCGCCATCTTAGCTGGATTTTTGTATTATTATGGCTGCGTCCGAATGACTTGGCTACGGCTTGAACATACACACGCGCCTATGGAAGTGGCTGCATGCAGCCACTGTTATAACACCTCACCCACAGATTTTGTGTCTTGATTGGCCGAGAGCGAGTCACATGGTACTTTCTATTTAGGCTATATTTCAGTGCATGGCTAAAGTAAAAGTACTTTACCCATAGCAACTAGGGTACTATACCCGTAGCAACCAAAGTACTATACCCACTGTGTGCAAAATGCATGGGGGCGGTGTAGCGCGGTGCGCGTATTGTTTCCAAGCGAGGGCACTTTAGAGCTGGGATCAAACATTTCGTGAAGGGGTAGTTAGAAAACGTGAAAGTTAATTTTCAACAAATTTCGTATTCAAAGAGAAGTAAATATCAGATTAAATTAATCAATTATCGCTTAAAATCAAGCAGAATCTGTGGGAGAGGTGTAATAAAACAAACATTGACTGCTTTATCTCGTGGTGTAGTAAAACTATCATCCCTCGGTGATCCATGGAGCATTATATTTCCCTGGGCTTCGCCTCGGTAAAAATAGAATGCTTCATGGACCACCTCGGGAGGCTAGTTTTACTACACCACTCGACGCAGTCAATATTTGTATGTGTGTAATTTCAAGCCGAAGCCAAGTTATTCGGACACGGCTTTAATCTAGAAACCCCCAAACAAGCAACATGTCTCATTTATGGTCATGCTGGTGGAACAAAGCATTGCTCCCTGAAATATAGCCGTGCAGGTGAAACAGTCGTCGGGTATTTCCTCAGTGTCCCTATATAACTCTATCAGAAAGATGAAGTGAGCGAGAAGTTGATAGGGGGCTCGGTAAAGTAGGAGATGTTGGTACATGTATATAGAACACTATACAAGGGAATACAAATGGGCCACCAACATATTTTACAAGATAGGAAACATTCTCCTCCATAATCCAAAGTTATACAAGATAGCTAAGACAAACATTCATCACACTTAGTTGCGTACTACCGTGAAGGGTTCACGCAATCACGCACGTCCTCTAGACACAACCTCTCTGAGAAGAGATATGGGAAGCTAATGTGACGACAAACGTGAAATGCATATTATTTAGGGACAATGTGTATAATTGCGTGATTTCATGTCGACTTGAGTGACAACAATGCATATAAAGTGGCTTTGTATCAAAGCAAGTCCGAGTGTCAATTGAATACCTATTAAATGGTATAGTGTGCAACAGGTGGGATCAATTATGTTTGGCCATTACCAAACCCATTTTTAAATATGAGCTTGGGGGAAAAGAAACTTTGCTAACATCGAAAACATTTTGATATGATGCATGAACCTGGACTGACTTCTCTTATAACAGTGACAAAACGACAATTACAATTACAAAACGACAATTGATGAAAAAATTGCAAGGCCTACTCACACATTGGACGTAGGCGTTCAGCTTGCAGAAGAATTCCCCGAAGGGCCAATGAGTGGTGGCAAACAGGACCGACGTCAGTGGGGCACAGACCACGACAAAGACAATGTCGCTGATGGCGACATTCATGATGTAGAAGTTGGTGACACTGCTGCGCATGTTGCGGTAGCGTAGGACAATGAAGATGACCAAGGAGTTTCCCCACAGGGCCAGGATGGTGATAATGGCGAGGGTGACGGGGACAATCACACCTGCTGGCCCCGGATGAGGCTCGGGATAGGTCGTATTGGGGTAGTAATAGTAGAAACTGTCCATTTGTAACTCTACATCCGCCATTTTGCATGCAAATGCCCGAGGGTTGGAAGTCGTTCTGGTGATTATTTCAGTCTAGTAGTCTATAGCAGGTATGACGACAATTAAGACAGGGCAACGAAGGTTTGGTGATGTTCCTTGGCGTCCGCAAACCAGCAGAGCAACACTTATACAGGAGTGTGCGGTTCCTAATGAGGGGAGACACTCACTTAGTCGTGCCTTCAAGCCGGGATGACAAGGGAGGAACTAACCGTGCACACGCAACCCTCGTGTTGTTTGAGCTGAGCTGGTAAGTCTCACCCGGTCGTCGCCAACACTATCTCCCAATCTATGAAGCATTAGTTTTCGCTTGACGCACAGAGCTGGGCTCTCCTCCGGTACAGTCAGCTAGTTTGATAGGTAGAGAGGTTCTAATCGTTCAAATCCCAACTGATCGTTTGTAGCCTTTTCACCGTTAAAAGACTGACTGAGCTCACAAATCCAATCGCTTACACGCGATCACGAAGGATATTCCGCATGGGTGGTCTTTGGATGCACCGCCAACCTGCAACGTGGAGGCAATAAAGGAGAAAGAAAAAGGAGATATGTCTTGAGAAACTTTAGAAGCTGGAAAACAGCGGAAATGGCCAAATTCGACAAGTGGGGGAGCAAATATTGAGCAATGCTCGACGTCGGCATCCACTGCCTGTCACGTGCTGTTGATGCCAATCGGGCGCGGAATGGCCGGCTGGCCAAATAATGTGCGTGCAGATGGGTCTGCGTGCGCGTGACTTGCAGCGCGGCCGCTGATTGGTTACTTGCCGCGTCCCGCGCGCAGTCTCGTGTCTGTCTGTACAGTCCATTTCACTCGACCAACAACTCGCGGCGGGAAAAAGCCGGCGGCACGAACATTTCAATATGACGTGTTTGCCTTGTCGTTCCCAACTTGTGTGTCCAGGCATTACTTGCGAGTGTACAAATCATTTTGTCGATTGACTTTTTAAGAGGATGGATGTGTTTTTGAAATTATCTCCGAGAAAAAAAATTCACATTACATGTGCATTGATTGACAGTTAAACACACAACTCTTCCGTAGTTCGTGCCAGCAGATAGGCTTACACCAAATATGCACACAATGTATTTCATTAATCACTGGAATTTTCAAGTTTTCCTTAAAAAATGCTTAAGGCGAGGTCGAACGTTCAACACTTCATTGTAAAGCTCCTTTGACATCTGTAGATTTATAATTACTGCGAATTAAAAATACTTTTCGAGTTGGGGTTTGGCCTTATATCTTGTATAGGTGATTGTATATTGTGACAATGCTATGAGTCGTCATGAATGTGTAAACAAAACGAGTAATGATTTGTAAAAATATGTGGAAATTCTCTTAGCTTTTTTTTGTTAATAGGAAAGTTATGTTTTTTTCTAACGAAAAAGAATCTACGAGTCCAACTTATTGTTACAGTTTTTAAAACAAAAAACCCAAATTTGTTTAATTTTTCCAATCATACAACAAATATTTAATCTTGGAGACGCAAATTAGTGTACTCATTTCTTTCGTAGCAAACGACCCTTTTCTAAGAACACAGTTGTTTTCTGGCTTCTAACGTTTTACGACCGTGACATGATTTTCATTGGGAAGAAAAGTAAACGACCGTTTGGTTGGGAAAGCATTGTCTTTCACTCTTAAATCCCGTTTCCTTTACAGTGGCTTTGGCGCGCTCCCAGTTTGTTTGAATGGGCTGTTGACTGCGAATACTCGAGAAGTCCACACGGGCAGACGTCGCCATTTGCACTGACACTCGAAACCTTAAAACGATTACGTTAAAATATCCTATGATTTCTTGTAAAATAAAGTACAGCATCTCTGATCTTCAAGAAGTAGCACGGGGAGTACAGATTGTATCATTTTAATTGGTATAAAAGAACCCCCCTGTAGATTTAGATCTGGGTTGAAACACAAGGAGATATCAGTTAAAAACAGTCGCCGTGCATTCAAGGCTGGGTAGATTGTCTTGATATATTCTGTCTCTGTCTGTGTAATGTCAGTGGGGGAAACTGTGATGGGGCTTATACAGAATGTTTGGCAAACTGGCCACACAGAAACTTATTTTATGAGGACCAGATTGAAGAGAAAAAAAAAGATTTAAGATTGCTGATTTAAAGGGAATATACAACCTTTGCTTTTCTGTGATTTTAAGAAACGGATGGATTTTAGGCATAGTATTTTACAGCAAATATTGTTACACTGTTATTGTTTGAAGTGTTTTGTTCGTAGATGCTGGAAAAACCAAGAAAAACAATGATGTTCCTGTAGTCTGGTTCTTTGACTCCACTTAAGATAAAAACGGAGCAATGTATAGACGTCGGGTAATTGTAAGACCAGGGAACAAATCTAGCTTGTACCCGTTCATAGGTGTGTAATCAATTGCAAACAAAATGCGGTCTAATTAAATATGGTAAATTAGTGGCAGTATTTGAAAAAAGCCAGTTTTTTTCCCAACGCTGGTCGGCCGACCAGCGTTGGAAATTAATACAAAAATACCACTTTTCCTGAAAAGGACAGCACACCAGCCGCCATGACTTTAAAGGGTGCTTTCGACTGTCATTCACTAGATATTTCCTAATAATTTGGGGTTGTTTTTTTTATGTTTGTATGTTGTTTTTATATGGTAAATGGATGTAGTCGTGTCCATCACAATTACATCACAACTGAACTATAACAAAGTTATTCCTTTGTCAGAGCTCACTTCGAATAGCTTGTGATTCGAATTGGGACTACAGGACTGGTGATGATGGACATACAGGGACTTGCAAGGACTTGTGATGCACTCAACGACATCCCTGGAGTGACTGTTATGTACTACATGTACATGAATGCACTAAGTGAGCGAATGTACCGAGAGTATTGATTAGTCACGTTCCGCTGGTGCACATCGTGTAAAATGACCTCAAATGACAGAGCGGACTGGAAACGGTTGCCATGACAACTCCCTGATGAAGCTTCATTGCCAAATGCGTAATTTCACGTCAATAAACGGGGGGGGGGGGAGCTAAAATAATCATTTGAAATCTTGCCAGATAGGTAACAAGAAAAGGTGTTGTCGTGCCCGTGCCTCAATGGGGACATTTTGCTTTCCTACTATCAAAATTAAACGATTGGCTTCATCTTTGCTCTCAAAACAATCCAAAACACCATGCAACGACGACCCGAAAACAATTAGAAAACAAGATTAGGAGAAGTAGATTTAACAGAATGTATTTCAGACGTTAAAGGAAGAGAGAAAAAAAAAGAGTAATGCATAAATTAAATGTTTTCGCCTAGTACCCAAACAACTCAAGTGCTTTGCCTCAGATACCAGATGATTTTTACTTGAAATCGGGGTCATTTCGATTTTCCCATAGTTGTACAATAGAAGAGCGTTTCACAAAATATCAATACAATTCTGACTGCTGTCAATGTGTTTTTTTTTCCCCAAAGAAGTTTGTAAAAGTTCTTATCATGTTGACCCTGCAAACTTTCTAGGCACGCAATCACGAGCTTCATTATTCACGATATATGACTTGGTTCTTTGTTTCTTTTTTTAAGGAACAATATCGTACAATCGCGCGAGATCGTATCCTCTCCGTTACTTGCGGGTTGTGAAGCCGGGCGTTGGTAATACACCCTTGCGACCAGCTCGGCAAAATGCGCCATAAACGCACAGTGCAGTGCACACACCAAACCTGCGGGTTCTTAAAAATACAATTATCACCTCAGATTATCAGACAAGAGGTTAAAAGTCACGAGGTCAGAGGGTATCGTACAACGTCATCTGGAGTTGCCACAGGATGTGTTACTAAACCTTCGTACGCGCTTGAGGCGATGGGAAAAAATTGTAACAGTTTGGGAGGAAATCTGTAAAAGTTTGGGGGGATCTCAAAACCTAAGGTGTTTACAGCACTGACGAAGCTAACATGGCGAGTAATCACCAAGTATTTTCTAGGATCCTTACATTTATTTAAATACAATTAAAACGCTTACATTTCTTTTGCATTGGCTTATCTAGCTCCCAGACCTACGGTTCTTAAGTCTACAGTGCTGAATGGTATCACATGGCAACATATGAAAAATTGAGGTGCATTTGAATATATCTTTTTTCAGCGGAAGACGTGATCCCGCCCGCGCCTATAGACCGTTTGCACTGCCGCCATGCTTTAAGGTGTGTGCTTTTGTTCCACAGTGATACGCACGAGACCTCTTGTGCTTGCATTGTAAATGAATCGGACATATAACACACCTCAAAGGTGCCTGCCGAATGTCATCTATATAACGTGATTCGAAGCCTCTAACCATCCAGCAAAAGCTCTGGAATGGTCTGGTGTCACTGTTGCCATTCCAAATGGGAACAACGTATCGGTACTGGACGTCTCACTTAAACGTTGCTAAGCGCACAGGGCCTACTCCGAATCGCGTAATACAGCATGGCTGTGTAATCAGAAAAATTCAAGAAGGGCAACGCATCAAGGGTGCAGACCTGAAAATAGGCCCGAAATTGCCTACGCCGGCCAAATCACGATTTGCATGCCCTCAATGTCTCAGGTATTAAGCATTTTGAGGGTCGTGAACTTGAGGATTTGTTAAAAAAAAGAAAGAAGGAAGTAAGGAAACCGTGCAGAGAACTGCAAGCTCGTATTAGTGTGAAATTTGGATGAAATAAGGTCCTCTATTTTTTTCAATGGAGCGTATAGGCGTCCGTTTTCAAAATGGCGATGAGCTTCAGGCATCATAGGGGTGATCACCTTTGGATGGAATTTTCTCAAATTAGTCATTAGTTCATCGCCAAAAAAATGAACTAAAAGTAAAGGATGATGGAATAATTTGATGTGAGTCTCAAACACCTTGGGGAATTGTGAGTATTTTAAAATAATTTTGGGAAGTCCGCGCAATTATCACTGAGATCTATGACAGTCTATACAAGCCTGCAACCATGGGATGGTAATCAAATTTGACTCACAAAGGTCAGAGGGCAGAGGGCATGGGTAGTCCACTGAACACCGTTTATGGTTGTTAGTGAGCTTAGTTGATTACTCCTACTTCTATTTATTCATTGGAATAGTAATACATCTCGACGCACGTACAATTTGATACTTCCAACCTACACATTTCTTTTCCTAATTATATATACCAGGGTTTTTTGTTTTTGTTTTTGCAGTTTTTGCAGGGCCAGCCTTCATCATGTAAGCCCCATTTGCATCAGGAAATTATTTTAAGTGGTCTTTTGTGAGCTTTCTTTAACTTATGTGACATTTAAATGTCGGTCGATTTATTTTTATTGATACCTTTTTTTAATGGAGAAGAATGCGTCAAAAGAGGTTGGGAGTGGATATCGTCACAAATCGTGCGTATAAGCATCGTAAAATTTCTATAGAATTGCTGATGCATCATCTATTTGGTCGGATACATCGCCGTGATTGTCCGACTCAGCATCTTCATAACAGGTGAGCCCAAGGATGATTTATGTTAATGGAAAGTGTGTCAAAAATGCTCAGGTTGGGGAATCGTATCAGACGAGGAAATAA